AGAGAAAAAAACATTGGGAATGAGAGGAGGAAGGGCAACAGAGACACATAAAAACGCTAACAAATCGTTTACGCACGATAAGCGTCGAGACTATATAAACATCTGTATCTTCAGTGTAAAAGGGTACAAAAAGAATAAACATGGTAAAGAAAACCTGTATATAACTCCTAGTCAACTAGCGTCTAGTGCAAATAAAGTATATTAGCTTGTACAAGTGTAGCTGTACAATAATAACATATTAGCGCTCAAGCACATGGTGATAAAAACTACCTGTACATGTTAGCAGTTATCTGATAACTTTACTGTAGGACACCACAAAATAAACAACATCTGTTAAACTGCTCGAAAAAATCACCCCCTTTTGGTTCCTGCTCGCTGCGTGGATCGGATTGAAGCCAATGACAAGAAACACAGAGATTACAGTTTGGTTTTCCCCAAAACCTCAAGTTATGTCGTACTACTGTAATCGATAAATAAAAAAAAAGATATCTGCCATCCTCCTCAAACAGTGAGTATGGACCTCTCTGAAACCATAAGAACAAAGATAAGACGAGAAAGATAAAACAAACGATAACATGTTGGTCCATAATGGAGCGGGTGCTGGGCGACACTGCAGCTGAACTAACCCAAATATCGACGTTGTGCTGAGCACGCGAGGGTGTGTCAACAGTCCTCTGCTCACCGGCTGCCCTCTGTGTTTGGGCAGTCCTCCCGCTCACCGCACCTCTGTGTTTTGGGCATTCTCCGCTCACCACTGAGCCTCTGTGTTTGGGCAGTCTCCGCTCAACCGTCCCTCCTGTGTTTGGGCAGTCTCCGCTCAACTGCCCTCTGTGTTTGGCATTCTCCGCTCACTGCCCTCTTGTGTTTGGGCATTCTCCGCTCACGCCCGCTGTGGTGTGTAGTCTCCACACATACGCCAGCCATCTGTGTTTGTCAGTCTCCACACCAACCGCTCCACCTCTGTGTGTGTCAGTCTCCCACAGAAAACCGCCCACTGTTGTTTTGTCAGTCTCCACACAAACAGGAGCCGCCCTCCATGTGTTTGTCGTCTCCATCCACACACCCGGCCCTCTGTGTTTGGGCAGTCCTCCGCTCACCGCCGCCTCTGTTTTGTCAGCTCTCCACACACCAAAGAAACAATTTCCGGCCCTCCTGTTTGTCAGTCTCCACACAACCGCCCTCTGTGTTGGGCAGTCATCCGCGTCAGCCCGCCCTCTGGTGTTTGTGCCAGTCTCCCGCTCCAAACCGCTACTCTGTGTTTTGGGCAGTCTCCGCTCACTTCCCTCTGTGTGTTCAGTCTCCACACAACCTGCCCTCTTGTGTGCGGACAGTCTCCACCAGGGCCGGAGTGGGACACATTTTCAGGCCGGGAGCTTCTTCAAAAACCTTCAGGCCAAAACTAGGGTCTAGAAAAAAAAAAAAAAAGACGAAGAACAAACAAACCACGAAAAAAAGTTTGGGTTTTTGTTGGTCATTGTATTTTTTTTTTTTCTTTTTGATGTTCTTTGTTTAATAGTTTTTAAGATTGACTTTCAAAACTTTTGTTTTCCTTTATTTTTTTTTTTTAATAAATGACTGTTTATATAATTTGGGACGTTTAAAGGATTTTGTAAACGATTGCGTAGCAACGTAACGTTTATGGGTTTAGTGAGAAAAAAAGACACGACACACACACACACAACACAATGAACTAGAGTGTTCAATAGAGTGTATAGACTCTAACATAAAACTAATTCAAATTATTGTTAAAAAAAGGTATTAAGTAAAATCTACATTGTTAACAGCTCATATAAAAGGAAAAAAAAAACGTTATGAACCATATCAGTTGGAGAGACCACAATCATTTTCATCAAAACACAAAAACAAAACACACATCAAACCAACAAGACACAAAAACAAACCACGGGGAAGCTGCACAGCAAACACAACCCTATTAAGCGTAGAAGTTGGGTCCACCAATTCTAGGCTGGCTTGCTGTGGGTAGGCCCCACCTGCCGTGTGACGTCACATTTGTTTAATTTTGCTCGTGGCCCAATGACATAAGCTTTGGCCAGTGTTGTGCCAGTTTCACTAGCATTTCTGAACTAGTTTTCAAGTCAGTTCATACATGCACAAAGTGAACAAGTTCGAAGACCAACAACGTTTCGAAGTTCTCATTTTAATTCTGAACTAGTTCAAAAAGTTTCAGTTCATTTTACTTTATTTGCGAGATATACAAATAAATACAACTTTTTTCACTACGAGCCTAGAAATCACAAAGATACGTGGTATATATATAAATTTATTATCCTTACAACTGCACAGGATGTTTTGACTCCAATGCAGAAATATTGACAATGGGTTTTTCAATGGACTGAGTTGTCCCAGAGTAATCTACTGCTCATAAGTACAAACAGTAGATGCGCGCAGAACCGTGAGTCTATACTTTATGGTCAAAGATGGTCGTAAGACGGCACGCCTTGCCTGTGTGAGTGTCACTGACATTAATAATACTGAGAAGAAAACTAAAATATACAAATAAAAACCGCCCACGCCTGGTGTTTTCGACAATCATCCGTACAACATCTTCACCATCAATCAAAAACAACACCAGAAAAATCACACACCATCAAAAGACATTCATCAGTCCATTCCCCACCCCCCATCAATCCAAACAAATCACGGTCACATTGAGTCCAACAACAACCAATGACTAGCACAAGCAAATATATCGCGCGGCCCGAGCCAGCGCACACCCCGGCACCGGCTAGTTTACTAGCCTACGACGGTCACTCCGGGTGCGTTCACGGGTAAACAGGAAGGAGGCCTACTAAACCGCGAAAAACAAAGGGAGTCAATGAGAAAAAAGAAGGGTACCTAGAAGACACCAGGAAAATGGCAAGAAGTGAGTAAGGAGACGCGTGGAAACCGTAGGAATTTTTAGTTTTCGTCCGGCGGAAACATGGCGATAATACAGGAGGGAGGAACTTTCTCTCGTTGCGTTGCAAAAGAGAAAACCAATTCACTCAGTTTTTAACAATGGTAAAACCATAATCGCGCTTTGTCTGCCGATCATGCACACATATATATGAACTCTCAATTCACGTTCTCGACGTTCAAGTTCTATTATTAAAAAATGGGTGTTGGGGGTGCGTTCCGTTCAAACGTTCACGAAAAACTGAGCCGAGTTATCAATGAACGCTCTTTGAACTCGTTCACCCGTTGTACCGGTCATCATGACACGAAAACCCACGTCCATGCGAAAAAACCCTCGCAAGAATCGCACTAAGCACTGGAGGCATTGGGCCTGGGCCTTGCCTCATTGACCAGGCCACACTACCAAACCGCCTCCCACAGGCAAGGGAAGAGTTTGCAAAGACCGTGCGGATGAAATATAAATAAAAGAAAAAAAAAAAAAAAAAAAAAAAAGAAAAAAAAAAAAAAAAAAACAAATGAAAAACCAAAAAAAAAAATATAAAAAAAGAGGACCATCACACACAGGCGTGAAGATATGGATAGGGCAAAGACGAGCGAGATAAGCAGACTAAGGCACAACCAAGGAGGGCCCAGGCCCTCACTAACTTAACTTTGACACGCAGCGCCACCGGGAGATCTTCCCGATGCTCCCGATGGCCAGCTCCGGGCCAGGTCCTCCACACACCGCCCTCTCTGTGTTTGGGGGCAGCCTCCGTCACCCGCTCAAGACGGATGTCCAAGGCCCGCTCTGTGTGCGGACAGTCTCCACAGCACACCGGCCCTCTGATTTGGGCATCTCCCCGCTCACGGGACGCCGCAGCGACGGCCCCTCGTGGTGTTTGGGCAGTCTCCACAGGAAGGAGATCGTGATAACGCGCACCCTCTGAGCTGTATTTTTTTTGGGCAGTGTAATCTCCGCAAATCACCGCCCTCAGACCTGGCTGTAGGTGTGTTTGGGCAAGTCTCCGCACCGTCGCCCACATCCCTGCCCTCCGTGGTGTTTGGGCAGATCCTCAACGCTCGCTGCCCCTGTGTTTGTCAGTCTCACACACATGCATGCCGCCCTCTGTGTTTGGGCAGTCTCCGCTCACTGCCCTCTGTGTGTGTCATGTCCTCCACACACCGCCGCTCTGTGTTTGGGCAGTCTCCACTCACCGCTCCCTCTGGTGTTTGCATCTCATCCGCGCTCAAAACCCGCCCTCTGCCCGTCTGTGAAGGAAAGGCCCACATATCCACTAGGAGACTCACTTCATGTTTTACTCAGAGTTGAGAGGCTCCGTGTGGACACACACTCAGTCTGCAGGACCCCAGAGGAGAAAGAACAGAACCTAGAGCCAGCCACACTGAACAAACCAAGCATTTAATACTCATTTTATTATCTGACTTTCAATCAATCTTCTTATTAAGTGCACGTTTTTTTATGATTGGAATGTTTTAGGATAAATTGTGTTTTGTTTTAAATATCTCTGTGGAGGGAAAGTTTGTGTTTGATTTTTTTAATTTGGTTAATTTAATACTTTGTCCGAAGGATGTATTTTCCTTGATTTTATACCATTTGATATAAGACAAGACAGCAGACAAACCGTAGAGCATTAATTCACTTTACATTTGAGACATAGAGGATAATGACAAAACAGGATGGAGAAAAAAAAAAGGCTGAACTGCAGCGTCAGGACGCTCCAAAACACTCGAGAACGAAGGCCGTCATAGGGTCAAAGATCTGAAAGAGCTGGAGACAGTGTTCCAGCAGAAAGACACCCTCCATCCTAAAAAGTACAGAGCTGAATGAACTTATGTTTAGAGGAAATCTCTCCTGAAGGGGAAAGAAGGGAAAGAGAAGAAGAGAGCAGCTGGAAGAGTCGCTGAAAATATGTGGCGTGACTACTGTGAGAATCATTCTGAAAAGTCAAAAAACGACGAGAAGCATATTGCCGGAAGTGGTACCTCGGCATAAGCAAACGACCACCCAACAATCTGAAGAGGTTTGGAAGATCAAAGGCATGTGGCCGTGAGCTTTCCTCCACACACAACCCCAAACCATAAAAAAAAAAAAATCGATACACACCGGGGGGAGTAGGCTCACTGCGTCAGACTGCTGAGAAGCTGCATTCCCCTCTACAGAAAAAAAAAAATCTTCAGAAAATATGCAAATTCTAGATTACATTGTGAAGTGCAAAGAAGGTGCTGAAGCCATATTATTGGATCCATCAATATCATTTCCAAAGCCTGGAAGATTTCCTCAAATGTCCAGCTACCATTTGTATAATCTGTTGTGTTTGTTTTGTGTGTCTAAAAATAAGAAAAAAAATGGCTCATGTAATAGTGTAGCGTGGGTGTGTAATGTGAGTTAGAAAAATGTGGGGTGTGCCGCGACTGTGTAATGTAAACGTGGGTGTCCTGTCCTTGTACAAAGATGTGATGTGCAATGGGGGGGCCTCGTGTCTGTTGTGTGTGGTGTCGTAGCCTGTGTGTGTACGAAGATATGTGGTGTCCTATGCTTATTAAAAAATGTGGTGTGTGTTGGTGTGTGTGTGTTGTTTTTGTGTAATTGGTTTGTCGTACTACATTGGGCAACCTGTTGTGTATGTGGGTTGTCCTGCACTGTATGTGCTCAATGGGTGGGAGCCCAGGCCCTCTGTGGGAGTGGTGGTGTGTCGTTTGTTATGCCTGCGGTGCGATCTTGTGTGTGAATGCCTGTGTGTGTGTGGTGGTGGGGTGTGGCGCCCTGGTGTGGGGTGTTTTGGTGTGTGATGCTTGTGTGGTGCCTGTGTGTGTAAAATGTAAACATGGGGGTGAGGTTCAGCCTGTGTGTGTGTGCATGTATGTTGTGTGAGACCCAAGAGAAACGGCAGGTTAGCAAAGTGCTGATATATAAAACCATGCTGAACTGAAATCCTGGAGCGGAGAGCTGTGGTGCCACAGTTGTCTCCCAGCCCCCAACCGTCAGCACTCAACCTCAGCGATTCAACAATTCACAAAACAACCACAAAACATAAAAGCCGACCTCCAGCTGCGACGAGAAACGTATCCGTGTGCGGAGATGTCATGTCGGCCATGCCACTCCACTTATGTATCCGCAGCAGAACACACGTTGCGCCTTCACTGTGGAACGAAAGCACTTCAGAACTCAAGCACCATCAGCAAATCTTAACAACAACCAGCTGAGACCTGAAGCATAATCCCAAATCTACTTTATCTAAATATCACGATTTGAATGAATTTTAAAAATGACGTGCTTCGCACTGAGAAACCAAATACCCCAAGTTAAAGACCAACAAAAAACATAAACAATGCAACAAGGTCCCTGCATGCCTTTATACACAAAATAAAAAATAATTATGTATGATTATGAAAAAATAACACACAAAAATATCAACCATGCTGTTTGTCTATTGATTTTTGACTTGGACTGGCAACACGTACAAAACTGGTTGGTTCAAATCCAACCATATTTGCAGCTTCACTTTTTCCCCCCTCCCCCCACGCGCAACTTCCGAATCACCAAATCAAACAAAACAAATCAACACAACAACAACTTGTGGAATGACAGAATAAATACTTATTTTGATCCCGTAGGAGAAATTCAGGTTGTCCAGCGATCCATCCTCCAATCCATCCCATATTCCTTCCCGCTTTATCCCCGTTGTGACCAACCCAGGGGATGGTCGCATGGGCAGGGGTCAGCATCCAAGCAGAGACGCCCTGACTTTCCCCTAATCCCCACACACTTCCTCCTGCCGATATCCTCGACCGGGGAGTGACCCCAAGAGCGTTTCCCAAGGCCAGCTGAGAACATAGTCCCTCCAGCGTGTCCTAGTTCCCTTTCCCGCGGGGCTCGCTCCCGGTGGGACAGGCCCAGGAAACACCTCCCCAGGGAGTAGAGTCCCAGGGAGGCATCCGCGACAGATTGGGCCCGAGCCAACTCAACTGTTTCCTCTCGACGTGAGAAGCAGGCGCTCCTACTCTACTCCGAGCTCCTCGTCCGTGTGACAGAGCTCCCTCAGCCTATCATCTAAAGGGAGCGCCCAGCCACTCTCTGCGGAGGGACGCTCATTTTCGAAAACCGCTTGTATTCCGCGATCTCCAGTTTCTTTCCGGATCATTACCCAAAGTTCATGACTCATAGGCGAGGAAGGGAACGAAGATTGACCGTTAAATTTAGGAGCGATTGGCCTTTTCGGCTAATCTCACCTACTTCACCACAACCGGTCCGATACAGCACCCAGAAATCACTGCGCACTAAGCTGCACCGAATCCGCCTGTCAATCTCACTGCTCCATTCTTCTCCACACAATTCCGTGAACAAGACCCCGGAATATCTTGAACTCCTCCACTTGAGAAGGACCTCTCCACCCACCTGCAGAGGGCAAGGCAACTTTTTCCCGCGGTCGAGCAACTCATGGGGCCGTCGATTTGGAGGTGGCTGTTAAATCTCAAACCCAACCCCCTTTTGTTTCACGATAGTTTTGTTCTCCGGTAACAGGGGGAAGTTTGTTTGTCTGAGACCCGGTGATTTCTGTCAGAGTTCATATATTTCCAGTCACCAACAGTCAAAGATTTGCATGAACAGAACCACAGACTCTCATAGACTCTACATCTCTCTCTCTAATCTAACTTATTCAAATAACCAAATAATTGTTTTTGTTAAAGAACACAACGCTTTTGTAGTGAGAGAGAGAGAAGAGGGGAGAGAGGAGAGGAGAGAGGAGAGGAGAGAGAAGAGGGGAGAGAGGAGAGGAGAGAGAAGAGAGGAGGAGGAGAGAGAAGAGGGGAGAGAGGAGGAGAGAGAGGAGGAGAGAGAGAAGGAGAGAAGAGGGGAGAGAGAGGAGGAGAGAGAAGAGAGAAGAGGGGAGAGAGCTCCCGTCGCTCTCTTCTTCTCTCCTCTTGTCTCTACTTCGTCGCCTCCTCTGTTGCGCTCCTCGTGTCGTCTCTCTCCCTCTCTTCTCTCTCCGCTTCGCTCGTCGTCCTCTCTCGCTCCGCTTGTCTTCTCTCTCTCCTCTTCCTCTGTCCTCGTCTCTCTCTCCTTCGCTCTTCCCTGCTTTCTCTCTTCTTCTCTCTCCTCCTTCTCTCCTCTTTCTCTCTATTCTCTCTCCTCTCTCTCTCTCCTCCTCGTCTCTCGCCCTTTCTCTCTTCTCTTCTCGTCTTCTCTCTCTCCTCTTTTCTCTCCTTCTCTTCTCTTCTCCTCTTGTTCTCTCTTCGCTCTCTTCTCGCTCTCTTCGCTCGCTTCTCTCTCTCTCCTCTCTCTCTCTCTGCCTCTCTCTCTCTCGCCTCTCTCTCTCTCTCTCTCTCTCCTCTCTCCTCTCTCTCCTCTCTCTCTCTCTCTCTCCTCGTCTCTCTCTCCTCTCTCTCGCTCTCTCTCCTCTCTCGCTCTCTCTCTCTCTCTCCTCTCTCTCTCTCTGCTCTCTCGCCTCTCTCTCTCTCGCTCTCTCTCTCTCTCGCTCCTCTCTCTCGCTCTCTCTCTCTCCTCTCTCGCCTCTCTCCTCTCGCTCTCTCTCCTCTCTCCTCTCTCTCCTCTCTGTCTCTCTCTCTCTCCTCTCTCTCTCTCTCGCTCTCTCTCTCTCTCCTCTCTCTCTCTCTCTGTCGCTCTCTCTCTCCTCTCCTCTCTCTCTGCTCGCTCTCTCCTCTCTCTCTCTCTCCTCTCTCTCTCTCTCGCTCTCTCTCTCTCGTCTCTCTCTCTGCTCTCTCTCGTCTCTCTCTCTCTCCTCTCTGCTCTCTCTCTCCTCGTCTCTCTCGCTCTCTCTCTCTTCGCTCTCTCTCTCTCTTCTCTCTCTCGCTCTCTCTGCTCTCTCTTCTCTCTCTCTCTCTTCCTCGCTCTCTCTCTCTTCTCTCTCCTCTCTACTTCTCTCTCTTCTCTCTCGTCCTCTGCTCTCGCCTCTTCTCGCTCTCTCTCCTCTCTTCTCTCCTCTGTCGCCTCTCTCTCTCTCTCTCTCTCTCGTTCTGCTCTCGCTCTCTCTCTCTTCTCTCTCTCCTCTCGCTCGCTCTCTCTCTCTCGCTCTCTCTTCTCTCTCTTCTCTCTTCTCTCTCCTCTCTCTCTCTCTTCTCTCTCTCTGCTCTCCTCTCTCTCTCTTCTCTTCTCGCTCTCTCTCTCTCTCTCTCTCGCTTCTCTCTCGCTCTCTCTCTCTCTCTCGCGCTTCTCTCTCCTCTCTCTCTCTCTCTCTTCTCTCTCTCTCTCTGCCGCTCGCTCTCTCTCCTCTTCTCTCTCCGCTCGCGTCTCCTTCTTTCTCTCCTCTGCCGCGCCCTTCCTCTCCGCTCTGCTCTGCTGTCTCTGTGTCGCTCGAGCGCCGCTCGCTTCTCGCTCTCTTCTTCTTCGCTCGTCTTCTTCTCTTCTCTCTCTCCTCTCGCTCCTCTTTCTCTCCAGCGGAGCGAGCCGCGGCGGCGCTCTTCGTAACTCTTTTTATCGTTCCCTGTTCGTCTCTCTTCTCGCTCCTCTGCTCTCGCGTGCTTCTCTCCCTACTCTCTCGGCTTGTCGCTGCGCCGCCGCTTTCCCTGACATGCAGCCCAAAACCAAACCACTCCCCCGCCACATTCCCCCAACAAAACCTACCTCTGCCCGCCAACCACTTAATCGCCCCCCTAAAACACCAATCCAACAGGCCCCCGCGCCCACACACCCACCCCACCCTACCCGCCCCTGACCCTCCCACAAACGTCCCGGCACCTCACATCCTCAAATAGAACGGATGGAGCCCCCTGATAGTTGCAAAACCCACCTTTAAATCAACTTATGTCTTTCCCACATCTGCCGACGCCGCGATCCTATATACATATACACGCCCCCTGGGCACAGAAAAAGATAATTTTGTTGAGTGTGATTAATACACCTCTACATTCACCCATGCACCCCAGCTCCATGGGCCAGGGCGAGGGGGAAGCCTGTGGGCGGCCCAGCTCCGTGGCCAAGAGAAGGTTTTTACCCTATTATTTTATGTATTTTATAATAAATTTATTAGAAGGCAAACAAAATATAGAACTGAAAGATTACCACTAGTTTTGCGTCCGAATGTAGACAGTCCGAGCGTAGATAGTCCGAGCGTAGATAGTCCGAGCGTAGATAGTCCGAGCGTAGATAGTCCGAGCGTATATAGTCCGAGCAGAGATAGTCCGAGCGTAGATAGTCCGAGCGTAGATAGTCCGAGCGTAGATAGTCCGAGCGTAGACAGTCCGAGCGTAGATAGTCCGAGCGTATATAGTCCGAGCGTAGACAGTCCGAGCGTAGATAGTCCGAGCGTAGATAGTCCGAGCGTAGATAGTCCGAGCGTAGATAGTCCGAGCGTAGATAGTCCGAGCGTATATAGTCCGAGCGTAGATAGTCCGAGGCGGTCCCGCAGGTCTCTCCCATAGACCAGTCTCTCCAGAGGATACGATGTAAGCTAGCTCTGTTCAGGGCTTGGTTTCTTCTTTGATCATGTTTTGGCTTTAGTTCCTCTTCTCTTCCTCACTGTTGTGTGGTTTGGGCTGTTTTGCTGTGTCTGCAGTTACAGCCAGAGGAGTTATAGCCACTTATGCTAACATGCTACTGTGTTTAGCAGCGCTGTAGAGGCTAGAGGACGCAGCCTCGTTCTGTGATTGGAGGAGAGCGGGCGTCACGCTAAGTCTCTACTCAGCACTTTTTACGTCCTGAGTTCATACACAGCTGAATCAATGAGCTCAAGTTTTACATTAAATTACAGATTATAATACAACTTCGAAATTTCCCCACTGTGAGACAAATAAAGGAACTCTTATCTTAAAAAATAGTTTGTATATGCATTTTTATGATCTCATTAGAAAATAAATTGGGTATAAACTGGCATAAAAAAGGGACAAACCCTCCCACCTTGTGAAATAGAACAGGAACAAAACCAGGACATGCCGAGGGTCCGGGTCAGACCCTGTTATCATGTTATTATTGCACTCCTTGTTTCCTGTGCTGGTGTCAGCCCCAGAAGAGCGGCCGACACTTCAGGCTCTGCTGCTGCAGCTGCTTCCACATCAGGTAGATCTGCGACGGCAGAAACCGGTGCACCAGGAGGAACTCTCTGACGAAGCAGGGGTCCTGCTCGTCCAGTTTGGCCCAGTCCGAGATCTGCAGTCCCGCCGTCCTCACTCCGACGTGAGGCGTAGGCCGCAGCCCGGCCCTCTCCGCACACAGTCCGATGTAGACGTCATCGATGGGATGCACCGGCACATGTTTGGAAACGTTATAGATCTTCATCGCCGTTCGGGCCGACAGGAGGAACCCGCCGCCGCCGCAGTACGGGGGGTAGATGTTAGACGCTTGGATCTGTTCTGGGACGTAGTATTTGCTGGTCTGGTCTCGGATTGGTTCGTTGTGGTCAAAAACAAAGCCGGTGTACAGGTGCTGGTCCCGGGGCAGGTCCTGGAGGTACTGGACCATGGCGTCCGTGTTGGCGAAGACGTCGTCATCGCCGTTGAGCAGGAATTGAGCGTCGGGACATCTCTGCTTCATCCATTCCAGGAACAGGACCTGCTTCAGGGTCAGGTTGAAGAACGATTCCTGGAAGTCCCACTGCAGGATGTCTCGGTTCTCGCTCTGCTCGTGTCTCAGGAGCTGGTCCAGTCTCTCCCGGTCGACCCCGGTTCCCGTTGTCCCGGAGACAAAGACCCGCCGGATCCACAGGCCGTTGACCTGTCGTTCTTGAGCCCATGTTTTGCGCAGAACCTTTGACGGTAAAATATTATTTACACTCATTTCATCAAAGACTTAAAGGGCCCATGTTAGGCTTTTTGACTTTTCTCTGCTTTAAACATGATTCTGTCAATCTTTAGTTAGAGCAATCTTTCTCTTTCACTCTCGAGAGGAAACGCTCGGGTCCACTTCTGTGACGATTATGACGCGCATGAGCTCGTTTGCTTTGTATTTCAAATGGTGTTTAAATACTTTTGTTGATGTTTGGTGAGAAAAATAATAAACATTAAAACAAAACTAAAAGCCAGGAGGTGATTGACAGATCCAAACAGCCAATCACAGCGCGCAGCTAGCTCCCGAGTCCGGCTCCCGAGTCCGGCTCCCGAGTCCGGCTCCCGAGTCCGGCTCCCGAGTCCGGCTCCCGAGTCCGGCTCCCGAGTCCGGCTCCCGAGTCCGGCTCCCGAGTCCAGAGAGAGATCAGAGAGAGGGACCAAAGAGAGGGACCAGAGAGAGACCAGAGAGAGACCAGAGAGAGACCAGAGAGAGACCAGAGAGAGACCAGAGAGGGACCAGAGAGGGACCAGAGAGAGACCAGAGAGGGACCAGAGAGGGACCAGAGAGGGACCAGAGAGGGACCAGAGAGGGACCAGAGAGAGACCAGAGAGGGACCAGCGAGGGACCAGCGAGGGACCAGAGAGGGACCAGAGAGGGACCAGAGAGGGACCAGAGAGGGACCAGAGAGGGACCAGAGAGGGACCAGAGAGAGACCAGAGAGGGACCAGCGAGGGACCAGAGAGGGACCAGAGAGGGACCAGAGAGGGACCAGAGAGAGACCAGAGACCAGAGAGAGACCAGAGAGGGACCAGAGAGGGACCAGAGAGGGACCAGAGAGGGACCAGCGAGGGACCAGCGAGGGACCAGAGAGGGACCAGAGAGGGACCAGAGAGGGACCAGAGAGAGACCAGAGACCAGAGAGAGAGAGACCAGAGAGAGACCAGAGAGAGAGCAGAGAGAGACCAGAGAGAGACCAGAAAGAGACCAGAGAGAGACCAGAGAGGGACCAGAGAGAGACCAGAGAGAGACCAGAGACCAGAGAGAGAGACCAGAGAGAGACCAGAGAGAGAGACCAGAGAGAGAGCAGAGAGAGACCAGAGAGAGACCAGAGAGAGACCAGAGAGAGAGACCAGAGAGAGAGCTTTCTCTTGGGCCTATTCTTCTCAGTTTGTAAGTTTGAACAGTTTTCAAGTGAGATTTCTCCATTTCGATGACGTTTCGATGACGTCGATGTCGTGCGGCACGGTGGCTGAGTGGATAGCACTCTCGCCTCTCAGCAAGAAGGTCCTGGGTTCGAATTCCGGTCGGACCAGGGCCTTTCTGAGTGGAGTTTGCATGTTCTCCCCGTGTCTGCGTAGGTTTCCTCCAGGTACTCCGGTTTCCCCTACCACTAAAAATATGTCCAATAGTTCTGGCATGTGCCTCCTGTACTGGCCCCGCTCCCATCTCTGTGTGGAGTGAGAGACTAATGCCCAAAAAATAACAATTGTAAACCGCTTTGAGACTCGGATCTGCAGTGAAAAGGCGGTATATAAATGATTACTTACTTACTTACTTACTTACTACTTGAGGCGATCTATTTAATTCTCATTGGTTTGAACTAAGTTTCATTTAAATAACTAGATAATGAATAAATGAACAATTAAGAAATGAATAAATAAATACCTCTCTCTGGTCGTAGTTTCCGGGGGCGCTCTTGACGACCAGCAGCAGGAACACGGAGCCCTGGCACTTTTCGGGAACGTCCAGGACCAGAGGGAAGTGTCGACAGTGATGGTACAGGAGGAAGTCCTGGATGTGAGGAGCCAGGGCCCCGAAGCCTGGGGCCCGGGCCTCAGACCAGGCCGGCTCACACTGGGGCCAGTCCTGGGTCAGACCTGAGTCTACGGTCTCCTTGGTCTGGGACCGCAGCGACACCAACAGGAAGAGCAGCAAACACCCAACGAGAACAAGAGTGTGTATCCGCAGTCGTCTCATACTGCAAAAAACATAATGTTTGTAAAGGTGTGACATCACAGAGGCAGTCACAGGTGTTTGCTTCTATTGTTATTTATTTTGTTGTGTGTAAATAAATGTGTGTATTGTCTGACTGTGAGTGAGTGTGTTTACAGTCGGGGAAAAAAGTATTTATTCAGCCCTTGATAGTGTAAATGTCAAACATAGATTTTAGCCTCTGAATTTTAAGCTAGTTTTATTTGTGCAGTGCAGTGTTTTTAGTGTGACTTAGTGTGCTTTTAACAGTTTTAAATACTGGTTATCTACGCTCGGACTATCTACGCTCGGACTATCTACGCTCGGACTATCTACGCTCGGACTATCTACGCTCAGACTACATTTGGACGCAAAACTAGCGGTAATCTTTCAGTTATATATTTTGTTAGCAGTGCGTTGCTTTTGTACCATTTCATCAGTGATTGTTGTACAGCTTAAATTGTGCTAATGCTAATGTTAGCATATAGATCGCAAATAAAACTAGATGGCTCCGTGGGATGAGAGCGTACAGAAAATGAGAAGCCTGCGAGCGAGTTGGGGGCGGAGCTAAACATTCAAACCGTGTGTTTGGATCATTGTCGCACTGAAAGACCCACGTTTCATCTTCAATGCCCTTTGCTGAAGGAACGAGGTTTACATTACAAATCTCACGACACATGGCCCCATTCATTCTTTGCTTTACACGGATCAGTTGTCCTGGTCCCTTTGCGGAAAAACAGCCCCAAAGCATGAAGTTTCCACCCCCATGCTATGGTCTCCTCCAATGATCTCCAAACACCACATGACTGACACTGCAGGGTTTGATTCCCTGTCGTCGTAGTGTGTTACTGATGGTAGCCTTTGTTACTTTGGTCCCAGCTCTCTGCAGGTCATTCACTCGGTCTCTCCGTGTGGGTCTGGGAGTTTTGCTGGGATTAAAGACCCCATGTTGAGATCTAGTCTGGAGCCCCAGTCAAGCGAGATTGTCAGTGTCTCGTGTCTTCCATTTTCTAATAATTGCTCCCACAGTGGATTTCTTCACACCAAGCTGCTTCCCAGTGGCAGAGTCAGTCTTCCCAGCCTGGTGCAGGTCTACAATGTTGTTTCTAGTGTCCTTTGACAGCTCTTTGGTCTTGGCCAGGCACAGGGCCAGACACGAGGCCAGAAACAGGGAGGTGAAGGCCTCGGGGTCTGGGGGGACAAGGAACCAAAGAGCAAGAGAAGAACGGAGCGATGGAGCCGGTTTTTTTCACTTTTTAATTTTTATTTATTTATAACAAAGCCTTTTTAACTTTCTTTTTAACGAGTGGTCTTTTTAAACCCAGGTCCAAATAACCTGTTTCCCACACTTGACTCTGAGGTCACATGTTTTCAAAGATAATCACTTTCACAAGAATAAAAAAAAAAGGAAAAAACAAAAGCAAAAAAAAAAACAAAAAAACAAAAACAAAGTTTTAAGTCACATTAAACTTGAGCGGAAGAGTTTAGGCTGAAGGCAAGAATTATACTAACTGTGCATTTTATCAAAACAACAACAAATGTTTATGTTTAGCTACAAATGAAACGTCCTGCAGTAAAACAGTCTCAGTGTGTGCTGTTGCCATGACGCCTCAGGTCCAGGACAGAACCTGTATTTTTACATAAACTTACAACTGTAGAGTTTGTATCGAGTCCTCACTGACAGAGGCCGAGCCAGGGACTGGAGCAGAGACTGAGGCAGAGACTGAAGCAGAAACTGAGGCAGAGACTGCAGCAGAGACTGAAGCAGAGACTGAAGCAGAGACTGAGGCAGAGACTGAAGCAGAAACTGAGGCAGAGACTGCAGCAGAGACTGAAGCAGAGACTGAAGCAGAGACTGAAGCAGAGACTGAGGCAGAGACTGAGACAGAGACTGAAGCAGAGACTGAAGCAGAGACTGAAGCAGAGACTGAAGCAGAGACTGAGGCAGAGACTGAAGCAGAGACTGAAGCAGAGACTGAAGCAGAGACTGAAGCAGAGACTGAAGCAGAGACTGAAGCAGAGACTGAAGCAGAGACTGAAGCAGAGACTGAAGCAGAGACTGAGGCGGAGACTGAGGCAGAGACTGAAGCAGAGACTGAAGCAGAGACTGAAGCAGAGACTAAAGCAGAGACTGAAGCAGAGACTGAGGCAGAGACTGAGGCAGAGATTGAAGCAGAGACTGAAGCAGAGACTGAGGCAGAGACTGAGGCAGAGACTGAAGCAGAGACTGAAGCAGAGACTGAGGCAGAGACTGAAGCAGAGACTGAGGCAGAGACTGAAGCAGAGACTGAAGCAGAGACTGAGGCAGAGACTGAAGCAGAGACTGAAGCAGAGACTGAAGCAGAGACTGAGGCAGAGACTGAGGCAGAGACTGAAGAAGAGACTGAGACAGAGACTGAAGCAGAGACTGAGGCAGAGACTGAGGCGGAGACTGAGGCAGAGACTGAGGCAGAGACTGAGGCAGAGACTGAAGCAGAGACTGAAGCAGAGACTGAAGCAGAGACTGAGGCAGAGACTGAAGCAGAGACTGAAGCAGAGACTGAAGCAGAGACTGAGGCAGAGACTGAAGCAGAGACTGAGACAGAGACTGAAGCAGAGACTGAAGCAGAGACTGAGGCAGAGACTGAAGCAGAGACTGAGGCAGAGACTGAGGCAGAGACTGAAGCAGAGACTGAAGCAGAGACTGAGGCAGAGACTGAGGCAGAGACTGAAGCAGAGACTGAAGCAGAGACTGAGGCAGAGACTGAGGCAGAGACTGAAGCAGAGACTGAGGCAGAGACTGAAGCAGAGACTGAGGCAGAGACTGAAGTAGAGACTGAGGTACTCACGTGTGCAGGGAGAGATTGACTCCTGTGTGACCTTGGATCAAACACTAGAGAAAACACTGCATCCTCCTGCAGACTGACAGGAGCAGGAGGAGGATCAGCAGGAGCAGGAGGAGGAGGAGGAGGAGGAGGGGACATCACACACACTTGTTGTTGCCTCAGGATGAAAATGTGTTACATGGAATTGTGTAAAATGCAAATCACACTGAGCCTCAGGACAGTTCAGGCTACAGCACTGCACTCTGCTGCCACCGGGGGGCGCTGTGGTGGGTCCAGTGAGTGTCCTGCTTTTAACCAGAGACTGTATATATTCACTTTTAACCCAAAGGGCAGGGTTTTAAATCAGCAAAGAAGAGATCCGGGGTCGAATCCTGACAAGAACAGGGACATTGATGAGAGGAGAGAGAGAGGAGAGAGAGGAGAGAGGAGAGAGAGAGGAGAGAGAGGAGAGAGGAGAGAGAGAGAGAGAGGAGAGGGGGCAGGGGAGAGAGATAAGAGAGGAGAGAGGGGGAGATGAGAGAGAGAGAGAAAGAGAGGGGAGAAAGGGAGCAGGGGGGAGAGGAGAGAAAGGGAGGGGTAGGGGATAAAGGGGGGGAAGGGAGAGAGGAGAGAAAAGGAGAGAAAGGGAGATGGGGAGAAAGGGGGTAGAGGAGAGAGGAGAGAAAGGGAAGGGAGATGGTGAGAAAAGGGGAGAGAGGAGTGGGGATTGAGGTGAAGTGGAGTTTGGAGTGTTCTTGTTTAGGTTTCCTCCAGGTGCTGCTCTAACATGATGACACAACACTTCTCTTCTGTCTCTCTATGAAAGTAAGTCCCTGTGTTTTTCTGATCTGCTGCGGGTGAATCGACAGCTTTATGAAGTCCGCAGAGACGAACGCTGCAGTGATGAAAAACTCCGTCAGACACAACGTAAACAAGACGTGTTTATTGTGGAAAAAGCCGAGGATATAAAATGATATAAAAACAACACTTTCCATTAGATTAGGAAACAAACTCAGCTTCAGTCGTTCACAGAAGGTTAGGAAAGAAAAGTCAGGCACGTCTGAAACATATAAATAAGAACAACCTTTTCAGTCAGAAACACAAAGGAAGAAGAAGAAGAAGAAAAAGTCACATTATCGTTGGATTTGTTTGAATTTTCTTGGTTTTTCTGCAGAAATTTGTCTTAAAAAATTTGTTTTTAATTTGTCTCAATCACGGATTTGACACGATTTTGGTCACTTTTGAGGAGCACCACTTTTTACAACATGGTCTGTGAAAGTATCAATCTCCTCCCACTCCCTCTCTCTTCTCTCTCTTCCTCACCCCTCCCTCTCTTCCCTCTCCTCCCTCTCTCTCCTCCCCCTCCCTCCCTGTCATCTAACTTTCTGCTGCAGTGACAGTAGCGCCGCTCTCTGATGATACTGCTTCTCTTTGGCAGACGTTAGCTTAGCCGTTAGCTCGGCGGGTTTCTCAAAGAAGTTGACCAGCGCTTGTTCCGTTAGCAGCGATGCTAATATCTGCGCAAAGCTAACGGTCCAGTCGCTCTCCGGGGGGTCGCCGCTCGGGCTGGTCTGGTTCCCCGCCTCGCCGATCTGCAGGACCAGGCTGGTCACCGTGGCGATGGCCTGGAAGAGATCGTTCTCGTCGTGGTCTCCGTGGAACAGACCGTAAAGAGTCTTACAGAACTGGATGAACTCTCTCTGCGGAGGAGAAGAGATAGAGAGAGAGAGGAGAGAGAGAGGTGAGGACGCAGATGTTTTTCTTGTGTTGAACTGATTCTCTAATCTGTGTTGGTAAAATCAACAGTTTTGTAAAGTCTGAGAAAAACGACTGTGATTTAGACACAAGAATACATTGAACTGAATCATTGGCAGTGAGAGTTGTACCTTTCCCCTCCCTCTCCTCCTCCTCCCTCTCTCCTCTTCTCCTCCCTCTCTCCTCCTCTCTCTCTCCTCCTCTCCTCCCTCCCCCCCCCCCCCCCCCCCCCTCTCTTAGTCTCCTCCCCCTCTCTCCTCTAAAGTGTTGTACCTGGTTCATCGGTGGCAGAGGTTTCTCAGACTCCTTTTCTTTCTCTTTTCCCAAATCTTTGAGCATCTGCTTCAGCTGCTCCTGGTACGACTTCTCCCCAGACTCCTCTGCAACAAAGCTTTAAAGTCAGGTCCCCCAGCTTTAAAATCAGGACCCCCAGCTTTAAAGTCAGGTACCCCAACTTTAAAGTCAGGACCCCCAGCTTTACTCACCTTGGGGGCGGGACACGTACAGAGGTCTGTTGGACGACAGCAGAGGGTTCTTCAGCAGCAACGGATCGTCCTCAGTCTCTGTCAGAGCTGCAGAAAAACTACATTTACTTTGGAGGAGGTGGAGGTGGAGGAGGTGGAGGTGGAGGTGGAGGAGGAGGAGGAGGAGGGGGGTTAACAGTAGTAACAGTACAGGCAGCAGTAGTAGAGTAATAGTAACAGAAATAGCAGTAACAGTAGTAGTAGTAGTTGAAATTCTTGTGTTTCATGAACCTGGCCAGTAGGGGGCGACTGAGCAGAGGTGGGACAGTGTTGCTCCCATTGAAAACCATGTAAAGTCTGTTTTGGAGTCAAAGGCTCTGCTCCTGTGTGGTGTACGGTTGTGGTAACAGTCTTAATCGGGGACACTCAATTCTAAGGGAAAACTAAACAATATTTCTCAAAAGAGTCTTGATTTTGGGCATTTTTGTGAAAGAAAAACAGAAGAAATTGTTGCGTTTCATTGGGGTGGCCTGCAGGGGGCGCTTATCTGGGAAAGCCTTGATCCACCTCGCCCGCCTCATTCCAGTGATTTGTTCAAAGTGTCCTCCTTTATATGAGACCACAGTTGGAACATGAACAAACTCTTGTCTTTCTCTCTATTTGTGCGGTTGCTACAAGCGTAACCCGCACAAAAAGATGGCATTTTGACAGCGCTTCTTCTTCTACTATATCTCCGTGTATAAACCCGGCAGACTGCACCGCCAGGATACGTCACGTCCTGTCCTACGTTTGTTATTCACGCCACCGCCCTGACGTCAGATGAAACCCAAGAATTATAGCAGTAGTAGCAGTATTAGTAGTATTAGTAGCAGTATTTGTGTAGTACCTGGAGGGATGTGCAGTCGATACAGGAGTCTGATTTTCTCGCTCAGTTCTCCACAGTACAAAGTGTCTGCAACAAGATCATGTTGAAAATTAATTATATTATTTTAATGATTTCTTTGTTCATGTAGATTCTAATGTTTATGATTAGGGCTGTCAAACGATTGTTTAGTTGATTAATCGCATAATAATGGTCAGTTAACTCACGATTAATCACATTTTTAACATTCTATTTCAAATCCACTCCAATGGAAGTGAAATGAGATTATCAAACGACACATTGTCATTCAGACCAAATGAACTTCAATCTGTTTGATCCACAACCTTTTACTTTTGGGCACAACCAACATGAGCTGTTAATGAACGGGAAAATGTACGAACCCCAGCTTTAATTTAGTGAGTTTAGTGGCGTTTCAGGAGGAGACACGACACTCCCTAAGGCTCCGTAGTTCAGCTTCAGAAGTGTATTTGTGTGGACAGGTTACGCACAGGTTACACAAAGACACACACACAACATGCAGAGAACAATCCTGTGCGTGTGTGGTCTTGGATCACGTTCCCGCGGCGCCATTCACCGTGTGGTTGTTCACGCCAACAAAGGAGGCAGACTTCAGTTCATAGCAAACAGACCTGCTCCGTCTCCATCTCTCACATGTGTCCGTAACATTCTGAGTGATATTATGGGATACATGGGCGGGTCATTCGGACATGCGTTATTTATCTTTTTAACGCAATTAGTAAAAAATGTAATTAACGTACGTCAACGCGACCATTTTGACAGCCCTATAGTATTTGTGCCTGATGTGATGTGGGTTGTGACATTGACTCCTCGTTACTGGAGTGGATTACATGCTTTTGTTTCTATTTCCTGCTGTTTTCTTCTGTTTTTTTGCCTCACACTTGTTGTAAAATGTGCCATACAAATAACCTTGACATGGACGTTCACCTAACCACGCGGCGAACTCCCTGAAGCCCACCAGGCCGTCGGTGTGCAGCAGGGTGAAGGTGCGATTCCCCAGCGTGTCGGTGTGTTGCTCGCAGTGCAGGGGCCAGGGCAGCAGGAGGCAGTAGAGGCTTTTGAACTGAGCCCGGTCCAGACGGTACTGTCGCTCTGTGAAGGACCGCCCCGCCTCCGTCTGTCTCCATGACGACGCCTCCGCCGCCGCCACCGAGCTGCTGTCGCCCCAGTACAGGCTCACCAGGTGCTCCGTCTGCAGAGAGAGAGACCCGTCATTTTGACTGCTCCCATTCACATCAAGGGAAATCTGAGAAACTTTGCACAAAAAATCTATCTGCCAGTTTTATCAAATACATAATTTTTAAGACTTTTTAAAAATCTTTATTCAACTTAACCACAAACTGTTACCAAATGCTGCAGGTAAACAGTGTGTTGCTATGGTAACTAGCAACTATAGTAACTCAGCTCAGGACAATTTAACCGCAGTCGAATAAAAACAAATGAATGGAGCAGTCAAAATGACACAGGTCCAGACAAAAACACAAAGTATGAGAAAAAGATTTTTTTTTGAAAGTGGAAAAGTGTAATGTGTTTTGTGCCATTCTCAGGTTGAATGGATGGTATTTTATTGCTTTTATAATTACATTTGTGATTTTACTTTTTTGTTATTAAATAAGGCTGTCAAACCTGCATATTTAAATGTGTGGATTTCATCTCTGTGCAGCACTTTGGAAACTTGTTTAATCAAATGTTAATGTTATATCTATTAGGTGGATTGGATTGATTAAAAAAATACCATAAACAATGTTTTTTTGAGCAGAGTTCTGACGACTTCCAAACATCAGGGTCTAAAAGAGTCTAAATGACAAAGGACCAGCCCAGTGTCATTTAGACTCTTTTAGACCCTGATTTAGAGTATTTTTCTTGTGCTTTTATCCACCGTCAATGAAGATAGCACGAGTTATAATGTAAATATAAAAGTGTGATGTGTTTGAGAGCAGTGAGAGCGTTGGTGAAGCCACAGAACTCACCTTGAACAGGTCGTAGGCAGCGGACAGGTTCTGCTGAGACATGGACACTTCTGCAGACACCACCCTCATCTGGAACACACAGGTCACAGTCTGAGGACCAAGACCCAGGGATCCAAGATGGCGTCCCATGTAGGGCCGCATGGGACCTACATGGGGACTGAAAGATCAGAGGAACTCGCCCATATTTGGGCATCGTCTGGTCCTCCCGGTTCTGCGTAGTGGACGAGCTCCCATGATGCTTTGTGCCAAATACGCATGTGTGGGTCTCATGCACGTGCACAGAGGGGCTCGGGCCCGCGCTTTGACCAATCAGAGCTGCAGATTAGAGCAGCAGAGCGGAGTCAGAGCGGGAAGGAAAGGAGCAAAGTTTGTTGCACTAAACTGTGAATTTATAGAAAACCGAAGGATTTAAGAAGAAAAAAAGTTCAGGATGACAAGGGACACTAAAATCCCCACAAAATCCGACCTTTATGAAAGCTGTAGGTTCTCTGTCAGGTTCTCTGTCAGGTTCTCTGTCAGGTTCTCTGTCAGGTTCTCTGTCAGGTTCTCTGTCAGGTTCTCTGTCAGGTTCTCTGTCAGGTTCTCTGTCAGGTTCTCTGTCAAGTTCTCTGTCAGGTTCTCTGTCAGGTTCTCTGTCAGGTTCTCTGTCAGGTTCTCTGTCAGGTTTTCTGTCAGGTTCTCTGTCAGGTTCTCTGTAAGGTTCTCTGTCAGGTTCTCTGTCAGGTTCTCTGTCAGGTTCTCTGTCAGGTTCTCTGTCAGGTTCTCTGTCAGGTTCTCTGTCAGGTTCTCTGTCAGGTTCTCTGTCAGCTGAGGTTGAGCTGTTTTAGTTTACATTGAGTTCTATGGGGAACATTTCTGGGTAGCCCACGTGAATTTAGTCTGGTTCAGTCTGCAGTACCACGAGGATCCCCCGAGCACATGAGTTATTCAGCTACAAGCTGTAATACCCTATCCAGTTATATAATAGATCCATACCGAGGACAGAAACAGGTTCATATCATGGTCTCTGCCGGTCTCTCTCTGTCGGTCTCTCTCTGTCGGTCTCTCTCTGTCGGTCTCTCTCTGTCGGTCTCTCTCTGTCGGTCTCTCTCTGCCGGTCTCTCTCTGTCGGTCTCTCTCTGTCGGTCTCTCTCTGTCGGTCTCTCTCTGTCGGTCTCTCTCTGTCGGTCTCTGGTCGGTCTGTCGCGGTCTCTTGTCGGTCTCTTGTCGGTCTCCGTCCGTCTCTGGTCGTCTCAGTCGTGTGGTCCTCACCGCGTTCTCTTTGGTGGTGTCTTCGTGCGCCTGCAGAACTTGGATCCGGTGTCGACACCTCAGTCTCTCGATCTGCTTCACGCTCAGGTCCCCAAACTTCTGCAAGACCAGAGCAGTAAAAGGCTGAAGAACTGAACAAAAATACTTTACATGAGAAAATCCACAACACTTTAAGAGGCTTCATTGTATTTTTCAGTACCCGAGCCAGTGTCCAGATCTCAACCCTATAGGAAATCTTTGGAGGGAGTTGAAAGTCTGTGTTGGCCATTGATAGCTCCAAAAAAATCACTGCTCTAGGGGAGATCTGCAGGAGGAATGGGCTAAAATACCAGCAACAGTGTGTGAAACCCTTGTGACTTACAGAAAACGTTTTTAGCTCTGTCATTGCCAACAAATATGTGTACATAACAAGTATTGACATGAACTTTTGTTATTGACAAAATACTTATTTTCCACCAAGATTTGCAAATAAATTATTACGTTATTTTATGGATTTATCTTTTTTTATTTTTTCATCGTATCAAGTCTCCTCTCTTTTTCACGTTTTCTGTCTGTAATACAAGTATGTGAACACTAGCGACAGAACCATTATAGATCCCATAACTACAGTGCCTTTGCGAAAGTATTCGGCCCCCTTGAACCTTTCAACATTTTGCCACATTTCAGGCTTCAAACATAAAGATATAAAAATTAAATTTTTTGTCAAGAATCAACAACAAGTGGGACACAATCGTGAAGTGGAAAGAAATGTATTGGTTTATTTAAACTTTTTAACAAATAAACTGAAAAGTGGGGCGTGCAATATTATTCGGCCCCCTTGCGCTAAAACTTTGTAGCGCCACTTTTTGCTGCAATTACAGCTGCAAGTCGCTTGGGGTATGTCTCTATCAGTTTTGCACATCGAGAGACTGGAATTCTTTCCCATTCTTCCTTGCAAAACAGCTCGAGCTCAGTGAGGTTGGATGGAGAGCGTTTGTGAACAGCAGTCTTCAGCTCTTTCCACAGATTCTCGATTGGATTCAGGTCTGGACTTTGACTTGGCCATTCTAACACCTGGATACGTCTATTTGTGAACCATTCCATTGTAGATTTGGCTTTATGTTTTGGATCATTGTCCTGTTGGAAGATAAATCTCCGTCCCAGTCTCAGGTCTTTTGCAGACTCCAACAGGTTTTCTTCCAGAATGGTCCTGTATTTGGCTCCATCCATCTTCCCATTAATTTTAGCCATCTTCCCTGTCCCTGCTGAAGAAAAGCAGACCCAAAGCATGATGCTGCCACCACCATGTTTGACAGTGGGGATGGTGTGTTCCGGGTGATGAGCTGTGTTGCTTTTACGCCAAACATATCGTTTTGCATTGTGGCCAAAAAGTTCGATTTTGGTTTCATCTGACCAGGGGCACCTTCTTCCACATGTTTGGTGTGTCTCCCAGGTGGCTTGTGGCAAACTTTAAGAGACTTTTTATGGATATCTTTGAGAAATGGCTTTCTTCTTGCTACTCTTCCATAAAGGCCAGATTTGTGCAGTGCACGACTGATTGTAGTCCTATGGACAGACTCTCCCACCTCAGCTGTAGTTATCTGCAGTTCATCCAGAGTGATCATGGGCCTCTTGGCTGCATCTCTGATCAGTTTTCTCCTTGTTTGAGATGAAAGTTTGGAGGGACGGCCGGGTCTTGGTAGATTTGCAGTGGTCTGATACTCCTTCCATTTCAATATAATTGCTTGCACAGTGCTCCTTGAGATGTTTAAAGCTTGGGAAATCTTTTTGTATCCAAATCCGGCTTTAAAGTTCTCCACAACAGTATCTCGGACCTGCCTGGTGTGTTCCTTTGTCTTCATGGTTCTCTCTGCGCTTTAAACAGAACCCTGAGACTATCAAAGAGCAGGTGCATTTATACGGAGACTTGATTACACACAGGTGCATTCTATTTATCATCATCAGTCATTTAGGACAACATTGGATCATTCAAAGATCCTCACTGAACTTCTGGACTGAGTTTGCTGCACTGAAAGTAAAGGGGCCGAATAATATTGCACGCCCCACTTTTCAGTTTTTTATTTGTTAAAAAAGTTTAAATTATCCAATAAATTTCGTTCCACTTCACGATTGTGTCCCACTTGTTGTTGATTCTTGACAAAACATTTAATTTTTATATCTTTATGTTTGAAGCCTGAAATGTGGCGAAATGTTGAAAGGTTCAAGGGGGCCGAATACTTTCGCAAGGCACTGTAGTTCGATTTTATGACATGAATAAATAAACACTCAACTCAACTCAACATGGTTTAATCTTTATGGTGCAGAAGTTACGCCACTCAGCTTTAATTAAACCAGGCACAAACAGAAAGACAACCAGGACTCGCTCTTTGGATCCAGTCCCAGTCGTTCACATCCAAACCCGGGACTGACCTCCGAGGCCTCGTTGATGAGCTCCGTGATGTTGGTGCTTTTCACAGTCAGAACTTCACTTTCGTCTTCAGCAAAAGGAGGAAGAGGAGGAGGAAGAGGAGCCGAGGGGGACTCCTCTGTGCCCACCTGCTCCAGGAAACTGCAAACACACACCGAAGACCCGTAAACGTCAGCAGTGAACAAGACTGGACCAATGACAATCCGTGTGACTGTCTTTGCTTGGTCTAAGGCAGGGTTAGGTTGACAGACCGGTTCCATAGAGGGTCACTGTGGCTGCGGGTTTTCATTCCAACCAAGCAGGCGCACAGCAGACTCCACTCATTTCCTAAAGGGAGTCCAGAGGTAATGGGTGGAGTCTGACTGGAATGATCTCTCCACATCCAAACCATCAATTCTGTCTTTTATTATTTACGCATGAATTAAACCTCTATACAAATGTGATCAATCTAAATGTGTAATTTTAGCCTAATTTATTTGTGTGTTAAAATAATTATTTTCTTATCCTTAATTCTCTGTAAATGTGTGTGTGTGTGTGTGTGTGTGTGTGTGTATATGTATGTGTGTGTGTGCGTGCTTGTGTGCGTGCATGTATGTATGTATGTGTGTAGGTACATGTGTGTGTATGTATGTGTGTATGATAAATATTAATATTAAAGGCACACCGCGGACTTTGTGACCTAAAGAGTTGACACATATGAGTTATTTTATATGAATACTTGGGCCAATATACAGCGCTTGACACTTGCAATGCTCCGAGCGGGGCTGCCCTCTTGAAATACCGCCCATGTAAGTTTCGAGCAGACGGACCGTCTGCCACCAGGTCACGTGACTTGGAAGAAAGACTTGCTTTACGGCTACAGGCGCTGATATACTCATGGAGCTAAGGCTTTTGCTACTCATTTTTCACCTGCTCGACTCCTGGTCATGGCTGAGGCAAGGAAAAATGTTAAACCTTCGGAGGAGGCTAAAAAGAGGAAACGCGAAAGGGATCGTGCTGTAAGCTGCATGTCTGTATGAGCGCTGCTCTTCACCTGGTTCCTGGATGTCATCGACTGCAAAGATGTCATTCCACGCAGCACGAGCTAGACGCAGAACTCCCTCATCCAGGATATAGAAGTCCATGTGTGGTAGATTACTAATGCAGCGGTCTGGAGGCTGACCACAGCAGAGTCTCTCAATATCTGTAGGCATGTCTCTACAGTTTGAACACACACACCAGTGCATGCTGTCTGAATACACACTCAAAAGACACCGGCTGACTGTTTGTTGACTTTTGCGACAGTGCTGAGTTGCTTGTGGCCACTAGGGGCGCTAAACGTGAAAGTTGCAGGTCTAGCGCCCCTAGTGGCCAAGAGTTACACGGTGTGCCTTTAAAAACTTTTCCCCTCCTGGCTCCTGTCTCAAACTGTTTTTTTTTGCCTTTAAAACAAAAGTATCGCACCCAATAATCATAATCTTATCCATGCATTTGTCTCCAGTAGGTTAGACTACTGCAATGGCCTGCTCACAGGTCTGTCCAAACAGGCTGTAAAACAGCTGCAGTACATTCAAAATGCAGCAGCTCGAGTCCTGACTAGAACCAGGAAGTACGACCACATTAGTCCGGTCCTCAGGTCCCTGCACTGGCTTCCTGTGGCTCAGAGAATAGACTTTAAAACAGCTCTGCTTGTTACAAGTCTCTCCATGGCCTCGCACCAAAATATATTAGTGACATGTTAGTCCCATATGAACCAGCCCGGACTCTGAGGAGCACAGGGACTGGACTCCTGTTAGTGCCCAGAGTCAGAACTAAACATGGGGAGGCTGCTTTTCAGATTCATGCGGCTAGAGTCTGGAACAGTCTTCCTGAAGATGTGAGACAGGCCTCCTCTCTGACAATGTTTAAGACAAGGTTGAAAACAGTTCTGTTTAGCTGTGCATACAACTGAGGGATTTTATATTTTTATCTTTTTTTAATGTACTGTGATTATTTATGATTTTAATGCTTTCTTGTTCTGTTCAGCACTTTGAATTGCCTTGTGTATGAATTGTGCTATATAAATAAACTTGCCTTGCCTTGCCTTGCCTAATAATAATAATGATAATGCATCGGTCTACTGCACTTTTCTGGATGTTGTAGTAGTTTCAGACTTGTGGGAGTCTCAATGATATGCTATGCTATGCTATGCTATGCTATAATATGCTATGCTTATGCTATGCTATGCTATGCTATGCTCAAATCAAGTCATTCTTGTATAGCCCTAAATCACAACAGTAGTTATCTCAGAGGACAAAACCGTTGAAATTGCCAACACAGGTCAGAAATGCAAACAGTTCGAACAGCTATGCTCTGCTGCTATGCTATGCTATGCTATGCTATGCTATGCTATGCTATGCTATGCTATGCTATGCTATGCTATGCTTCTCATTGATTGTGTTTTGTTGTGCAGTACCCAGTGAGTATCATGAGAGCCTGTCCGTCGTCGGTGCAGGGGCAGAGCTGGGCGGTGTTGGCCTCCAGAACGGCGAGCCCCAACTGGAAGATGGCTCTGATCCCGCTGTAGAAGAAGCAGTCCACCACACGGACCGCACAGTTGAACGGCAACACGCTCAGGAACAGCGTGAGGAACCAGGACAGAGACACCGAGGACAGAGAGGACAGGTCTGGGAAGTGATCCGCCAACTCCGGCAACCGCTCTCGAATCAACTCCTCGAAGACAGACTGGTCAACCTGAGCTCCTGCAGAGGACGGAGCAGATGGACCGCATTACCCAGAATCCATTAGAAGAGGTTTTAAACTGTGTTATAAATGCTTTACTTCTCATGAATCCTGATACAGTGCCTTGCGAAAGTATTCGGCCCCCTTGAACCTTTCAACATTTCGCAATATTTCAGGCTTCAAACATAAAGATATAAAATTTTAATTTTTTGTCATGAATCAACAACAAGTGGGACACAATCGTGAAGTGGAATGAAATTTGTTGGATGATTTCAACTTTTTTAACAAATAAAAAACTGAAAAGTGGGGCGTGAAATATTATTTGGCCCCTTTACTTTCAGTGCAGCAAACTCAGTCCAGAAGTTCAGTGAGGATCTTTGAATGATCCAATGTTGTCCTAAATGACTGATGATGATAAATAGAATGCACCTGTGTGTAATCAAGTCTCCGTATAAATGCACCTGCTCTTTGATAGTCTCAGGGTTCTGTTTAAAGCGCAGAGAGAACCATGAAGACAAAGGAACACACCAGGCAGGTCCGAGATACTGTTGTGGAGAAGTTTAAAGCCGGATTTGGATACAAAAAGATTTCCCAAGCTTTAAACATCTCAAGGAGCACTGTGCAAGCAATTATATTGAAATGGAAGGAGTATCAGACCACTGCAAATCTACCAAGACCCGGCCGTCCCTCCAAACTTTCATCTCAAACAAGGAGAAAACTGATCAGAGATTCAGCCAAGAGGCCCATGATCACTGTGGATGAACTGCAGATAACTACAGCTGAGGTGGGGATGGTGTGTTCAGGGTGATGAGCTGTGTTGCTTTTACGCCAAACATATCGTTTTGCATTGTGGCCAAAAAGTTTGATTTTGGTTTCATCTGACCAGAGCACCTTCTTCCACATGTTTGGTGTGTCTCCCAGGTGGCTTGTGGCAAACTTTAAGAGACTTTTTATGGATATCTTTGAGAAATGGCCACTCTTCCATAAAGGCCAGATTTGTGCAGTGCACGACTGATTGTTGTCCTATGGACAGACTCTCCCACCTCAGCTGTAGTTATCTGCAGTTCATCCAGAGCGATCATGGGCCTCTTGGCTGCATCTCTGATCAGTCTTCTCTTTGTTTGAGATGAAAGTTTGGAGGGACGGCCGGGTCTTGGTAGATTTGCAGTGGTCTGATACTCCTTCCATTTCAATATAATTGCTTGCACAGTGCTCCTTGAGATGTTTAAAGCTTGGGAAATCTTTTTGTATCCAAATCCAGCTTTAAACTTCTCAACAACAGTATCTCGGACCTGCCTGGTGTGTTCCTTTGTCTTCATGGTTCTCTCTGCGCTTTAAACAGAACCCTGAGACTATCAAAGAGCAGGTGCATTTATACGGAGACTTGATTAAACACAGGTGCATTCTATTTATCATCATCAGTCATTTAGGACAACATTGGATCATTCAAAGATCCTCACTGAACTTCTGGACTGAGTTTGCTGCACTGAAAGTAAAGGGGCCGAATAATATTGTACGCCCCACTTTTCAGTTTTTTATTTGTTAAAAAAGTTTAAATTATCCAATAAATGTCGTTCCACTTCACGATTGTGTCCCACTTGTTGTTGATTCATGACAAAAAATAAAAATTTTATATCTTTATGTTTGAAGACTGAAATGTGGCGAAATGTTGAAAGGTTCAAGGGGGCCGAATACTTTCGCAAGGCACTGTAAAGTTGTATTTAACTATCCTATGTCCTCTCTAACCTCCTCACTCCCATCAGAACAAAGTGCTAAACCTGAGGACTGAGCCCTCTGAACCCTGATTCAGCGCTCTCTTTTTCCCTTGTCTGAATAAGCGGATGTAAGAGGCCAACATTACAAAGAATATACTGAAGGAACCTAAGTGTTTGTTGAACAAAGAACTAAAGTTAGAAGGGGTACAGGGTAGGGCTGGGCGATATGGCTGAAAACTATATCACAATATTATATGACTTGGACCGTACGCGCGCTCTGATTGGTTGATTTGCGGTCTGATATTTTTCCATCTCGGACCGTTACCATGACAATTGGTCCAAACAGCGCGTATCACATTTGATCGCCACGGCTCGGTCTGTGCATTAAGACCGCTGTCTGATATTTCTCCATACAGACCTCGCGCTCGGTTAATAAGCCGTTAATATAAATCATTCATGTCGGTCGATAACGATATACTGTATATTGATTTTTTTTTTTAAACCTAAATAAATACATTTGTTGTGTCGGCTAACACACGTTAGCAGCCCTTGTTTACAGTCACAGGGAATGAGGCTCGAGGAATGTGTTTACAAGCACAGTGTCCCCCATTGTTAGTCCTGGTTTTGTCCTGGTTTAGTCCTGGTTTAGCTCCTGTTTTAGTCCTGGTTTAGTCCTGGTTTTGTCCTGGTTTAGTCCTGGTTTAGCTCCTGTTTTAGTCCTGGTTTAGTCCTGGTTTAGTCCTGGTTTAGTTCCTGTTTTAGTCCTGGTTTAGCTCCTGTTTTAGTCCTGGTTTGGCTGTTTTCAAGTGTCTTGTGTCCCCGTGACGGCTCCGGAAAAAGTTCATCTCCTGCTTTTGCCGAATGCATTGAGTCTCTGTGTCCACTGCCGCGCCGGTGCTGTTGTTGTTTTTGCATTTCCCAGAATGTTTTACGGTTCATGATCGGCTGTGATAGTTCGAGAAGCCTCTGCCTACATCCCCCAGAATGCCGCACGCTTCTGACTCGGCTTTACTCCCCGTTTTTTCTAACAGAATGAAGTTGAACTATTGAACATTCTATCGACCCTGTTTTATATTGATATCGAACACGTGTCTATCGCGATATATATCGTTATCGTCAGTGATGGGAATAACGGCGTTACTAGTAACGGCGTTACTAGTAACGGCGTTACTAACGCCGTTACTTTTTTCAGTAACGAGTAATCTAACTAATTACTTTGACTGTAACTATAACGCCGTTATCATTTCCGACATCCCGTTACTGCGCGTTACTCAAGACGCACAGTGAACTTCTCTTTTTACTTCATGATAGGACTCGTGCGCGTGTTGTCATGAGAGAAGGGAGGATGAGAAAACCTCTCAGCAATTATTGGCTGATGTAAAACATATTTCCTTTACAATCTACATGTCTACAGTTGAGAGGATAGCTCATAAATTGTGTTTTTTAAACAAATGAAACAAATTAATCACACTCTACCACGGCTTGTATCACCGTGAGGCCAGCCCATGGATGTATTATATTAACTGGATAGGGTATTACTAGCTTGTAGCTGAATAACTCATGTGCTCGGGGGATTCTCGCGGTACTGCAGACTGAACCAGACTAAATTCACGTGGGCTACCCAGAAATTTTCCCCATAGAACTCAATGCAAATTAAAACAGCTCGACCTCAGCTGACAGAGAACCTACAGCTTTAATAAAGATCGGATTTTGTGGGGATTTTAGTGTCCCTTGTCATCCTGAACTTTTTTCTTCTTAAATCCTTCGGTTTTGTTTAAATCCACACTTTAGTGCCACAAACTCTGCTCGTCTGGCTCTCGCTCTAACTCCCGCTCTGATGAACTGCTCTGATTGGTCAGAGCGCGGCCGAGCCCCTCTGTGCACGTGCGTGAGACCCGGTGTGAGACCCACACACGCATGTTTGGCACAACGCATTATGGGAGATCATCCACTGCGCAGAACCGGGAGGACCAGACGATGCCCAAATACAGGCGAGTTTCCCATAAATCTTTGAGAGTTTCCCATAGATCTTTGCGAGTTTCAGGCAACTTCCGCTAATCTTTCAGCCCCCATGCTGTCACAAAGCGCCACTGAGCACAACCATTCATTTGAATAGGGCGCCATCTTGGATCGCCGGGGCTTGGGCCAGCCTCAGAGGAGCGCATGTGAGCGCAGAAGTCGGCTGCATACAATTCCATCGATAAGCTCCTTTCTCTTCCTGGTTTATCTGCTAAGGACGTCAACAGGTTTGGCTAACATACATATAACACATTTTAAGATAATTTAAAATGCACTTAGGGTACTTTTTCAATGACTATAGGAATGATAAGAAAGAGAGGTGAAGTGTGGGACGGTTGATTTTAGAAATCGGATGCACCCGGCTTCAGCTAGCAAAACAGAGGAGTTTATGGAGGACACACGCGTTTTGTTTTGCTTTTTAAAACTAATTGGACTCCTTTCCAAATGGAGGATTACATATCTACGCTCAAACTATTATCTGGACTTAAACACAGAACTGGTCTGAACCAAAGTGGACTGTGCAGGTCATTTATAAGGTAAGACCCATAACTCAAAGTTTTGCGTTTTGTATGAACAAACAATGCGGGCATGAAACATATTCTGCTGTAGCCAAACAAATAAGCCGCTCTCTAGGTCCACTTGATTTATATGATATATATGTTCATCTGATTGGGCTGAAGTCAGTGCTTCACCGGTGTTTCCACATTCACAGTGGAGCGTGTTGGTGTTTAGTGCTTACAGCACAGAGACAGATGAAGAGTGAACAGGACTTCAGCAGCAAAACAGTCTTTTCTAGATGGAAATATTGGCACTATTTCAGACTCACTGAGGTTAAAGGTTAAAATGCGCACGTCGAGTGCACATTATGTTCCAGAACAAAATGATAAAGTAACGCAATAGTTACTTTTACTGGTAACTAGTTACTTTTATAGTGGAGTAACTCCGTTAGTAACTCAGTTACTTTTTGGGAGAAGTAACTAGTAACTATAACTAATTACTTTTTCAAAGTAACGTGCCCAACACTGGTTATCGTTTTATCGCCCAGCCCTAGTACAGGGGTAAATTGTATGTAGTTTGAAAGTGAGGCCCCAGCTTCAATCTGAAAACATTCATGAAACATTGGATTCATTAGTTATCGCTGTATCCCCAAACATTTCCTCGTAACATTTTAGTCCAACAGATTTCATTCAAAAGCCAGTTCCTCTTCAAAACCTCGTTCTCGCTCACACACTGTTGATCCTTCAATAAACAAACATCATAGTTACAAAAGGAAGTCCTTTGCTTTCACAACTGTATTTTGAGAAAGAGGAAATTGGTTTAAACGCTGCTCTCGTCTCATGTAAATAAACCACTCGACAAACAGGAAATTAGCCTCAAACCGAGAAGAAAAATAATGTGTTTTTGAGAAAGAAGAGGATGATTATCCAACATAGATTCAGCACATAAGGAAAACAAGGAGAAAGCCATTGATGTCACATGAGAGACTACATTTGTACAAATCGCTCTAATTGGGACTAGGAAAAAGCTTAATCTATTATCCTGCATTGTTCATAATTCTTGGGTTTCATTAAACTGGCCAGTAGGGGCGCATGAGCAGAGATGAGACAACTCAGTGTTGCTCCCATTGAAAACCATGTAAAGTCTGTTTTGAGTCAAGAGGCTCTCCTCCTGTGCGGTGTACGGTTGTTGGAACAGTCTCAATCGGGGACACTCAATTCTAAGGAAGTACTAAAAAAATATTCTTAACAGAGTCTTTATTTTGGGCATTTTTGGAAAACACAACAGAAGAAATTTCTTTGGGGTGGCCTGCAGGGGGCGCTTATCTGGGAAAGCCTTGATCCACCTCGCCCGCCTCATTCCAGTGATTTGTTCAAAGTGTCCTCCTTTATATGAGACCACAGTTGGAACATGAACAAACTCTGGTCTTTCTCTCTATTTGTGCGGTTGCTACAAGCGTACACCGCACAAAAAGATGGCATTTTGACAGCACTTCTTCTTCTACTATATCTCCGTGTATAAACCCGGCAGACTGCACCGCCAGGATACGTCACGTCCTGTCCTACGTTTGTTATTCACGCCACCGCCCTGACGTCATAGAAACCCAAGAATACAAATACTGTGCTTAAAGCTGGGTGCTAAACTTGGTTTCATAAAAAGGGCATGGTGTCCCAGTGAGGGCTAAACTAAAGTGTCAGACAGTTCATGTGTGATTTCAGCATCAGGGCTTTCTCCTCCTGTTTGTGTGTTTGTTTAATTATTCATTTCAGGCATTTCACATCGGGCACCTCTGGTCTGGTCATCTCTTGTCCATAGTTCCAACAAAAAATAAATAAAGTATTGCTAACATGCATAAGAGGGAAAAATAAAAAATAAATAAACCAAAATAGTTGCCTGAAAGGAAAAAGAAGAAAACGTATTTAATCCCACCCCCATAACTCATATTAAACAAAAAATATCTGACCGATGACTCTGCGGTTGAAGTAGTCGGGCAGCATCCTCTCGCAGACACACACCAGCAGCCAGAAGGCCTCCTCCTCTCGGGCGTACAGCAGCAGCACCGAGGCCAGGATGTTCATGGACTGGACACAAACACAGACGTCACAGGTCACTGCTCAGACTGAAGGAGGATCTGTGCTGTTTTGATTAGCCTGGCCTGGCTCAGGTTGGATTTGTTTTTATTCAGACCAAAAATAGGACTTTCCATGGAATAGCAATTAAACCATGGGTGTCAAAGTCGAGGCCCAGGGGTCAGATCCGGCCCGCCAATGAATGATCTTGGCCCCGGGATGATATTTGATCAGTATTAGAACCGGCCGCACAGAGACATATTGGATTATTCACTTAATGTTCAGGACGTGTGTTTTCTCTTTGAAGGAAGTTAGTTTTTGTCTGTGAGTCTGTTGGAAAAGGTTTTCACTTGAAATGACAGACAAAGCCACAAAAACATTGGATTATTCATTTAATCATGAAATAAAATACGGTCCACTGTGTTAGGAGTTCAATGGTTATACGTATAATTTAATGAGGAGGACCGAGCCTTCTGAACCCTGAGGACCGAGCCTTCTGAACCCTGAGGACCGAGCCTTCTGAACCCTGAGGACCGAGCCTTCTGAACCCTGAGGACCGAGCCTTCTGAACCCTGAGGACCGAGCCTTCTGAACCCTGAGGACCGAGCCTTCTGAACCCTGAGGACAGAGCCTTCTGAGGACCGATCCTTCTGACCCCTGAGGACCGAGACTTCTGAGGACCGATCCTTCTGACCCCTGAGGACCGAGACTTCTGAGGACCGATCCTTCTGAACCCTGAGGACCGAGCCTTCTGAACCCTGAAGACCGAGCCTTCTGAACCCTGAAGACCGAGCCTTCTGAACCCTGAAGACCGAGCCTGATCTAGACCGAGACATTTACCACAAACAAACTTCTTCTGTGTTTTGACACCTGCGACCTCGCACACAGACGGTGTGTGTCGGGGCCGTAGGGTTGTGTACCTGGCAGTATCCGATCTTGGGGTTGCGGTGGGCGTAGGCGGTCAGGACCCTCCTCAGGGCTGCGATCCCTGTGGGGTTCTGGAAGGCGGGGTGGTCCGGCAGCGAGCGGTGGAGGTCTCGCTCGATCTCGTCTGTGGCCAACGTGTTCTGTCCCATAGACTTCTGCACCAGAGACGAGTAGTAGCCTTCGTGAGACTCCAGCTCCGAGCAGGCGTCTGCCGGAAGAGAGACAGACAGGGTGTTGAGAGAGAGAGAGAGAAAGACAGGGGTTGAGAGAGAGAGAGAGAAAGACAGGGGTTGAGAGAGAGAGAGAGAGACAGGGGTAAAGAGAGACAGAGAGATGGGGGTTAAGAGAGAGAGAGAGACGGGGGTTAAGCGAGAGAGAGAGAGACACGGTGTTAAGAGAGAGAGACACGGGTTAAGCGAGAGAGAGAGAGACACGGTGTTAAGAGAGAGAGAGAGACATTTGTACATACTGTACATGTTTGAAAAGGGAGTTAGATGAAGCAGTTAGAGACACACACTTTTCAAGTCTGAAAAAAACACTACAACTACACACACTACAACTACACACACTACAACTACACACACTACTATTGATACAGAGGAATTGTTAAAATAGTCACAGCAGAAGAAGTGGTCTCTGTAAAAGTCTATTACAAACATGAGATTATTCTGATCCAATATTTTAACCTGTACTTTCCTCTATTCTTTTCATTCACAAAAAAACTACTTTTTTGTTTTTTTTTCAGGCCTCCTGATTTGTGTTTCAGAATCAGTGTCACTATTTTTGTCAGAGAAGTGAAAGAAGGAAGTAGCTCCACATAAACTGTATTTGTAATGTGCGGTGTACGTTTTAGACACAACGTTTTGGTGACTGCACAAGTGCTTTTTTGCCTGGTTTTCCTTTATTTTGACACTTTGTTTTCATCCATAGTCATCCATAGCACATAGTACTATGTAGGAAGTGTAACAATAACATTTAATTAAAGAGTTATGAGGGACTAAAATAAAATAAAACTTTAGCATTAAAAAGAATCAAGTATAAAAAACGTAAACCTTTAGCAAAAAGTATAAAGTGTAAAGGTTCTCACCGGACAGGGTCATCCAGAGCTCCCCTCGCAGACTCTCTGGGACGCCCATGGCCACCAGCTTCTGGACCTTCTCCGTCCTGAACATGTGAACGCCGCGACCGAACTCTGAGAAGTGGTCTTCCCACAGACGCTGCTTCAGCTTCTCCAGGCTCTGACGCACACAAGAGAGACGCACACAAGAGAGAGACACAAACACACAATATGAGAAGATCTAAAACACACACACACACACATACGTTACTCTCGGCAGTGTGATGTCACGTACCTGGTTGCCGTTGGTTTCCGGTTGGTGTTGGTGAAAGGCCGTCATCAGCGCCTCACTGTTCACCGTGTTCCTCAGGACCTGCTCCTCCATCTCCTCCTCGTCAGAAACGCTGCTGTCGTAGTAGAACGTGTAGTACGGAGTCGGAGCGCTCTGCGCAACACAGGGAACTAGTTCAGTTTGTTTAAAGAGCGCACTAATTACTATTGTTACTATGAATATACTGGAATTGATAGATACTTTATTGATCCCCGTCGGAGAAATTCAGGTGTCAAGTAGCAGCAAAAATAAAACATTAAATAGATCTTTCTAAAAAGCTAACAATACTAATAATCAGCAACAGCCCTTCAGGACGCAGCAGCAGAGGTGACACTGACAGAGGTACACACACCAAAAGTCACGTTTCCACCGCAGGAACTACAGGGTAATTTTCCAGGGCCAGCCCCGTCGGTGCGTGTCTCCACTGCACAAACTTTCCCCACAGGGCCATTTACAGGAACTTTTACGGGGCCCAACAGAGTCCCTCCTCCATGATATGTACTCCAACGGGCCCTAGCCTATCAGCATTAGCAAAGCAGACACCAGTGGAAACAACAAACAACAGCAGCAAAATGTATGATAAATGGACGGATGATGAAGTTCAGGCAATTGCCTTCTACAGAACCGAAGAAATTCAGACAGGGTTTGAGGCATCGCTGCAAAATTAAAACATACATTAGGACACATACGCTCTGAAACAATGCAGCGAAAAGTGACACAAAAATGAAGCAGGACTATAAAAAAAACTCAAAGACCACAACAACAGAAACGGTTACCACCGTAAAATAAAGTATATAAAAATATTGTTTACGCAACGATCAAAACTAATGACGTCGCCGAGGGTCCTACACTGCAGTGAAGACACGACCACTGAGAGGACGATTCGTGTAGCTGTCCCACCCCCTCATTATACCAGGAAAATACATAGAATCACATTGAAAAAGAAGAGAAAGAAAGACATTTGTGACAGTACAATCCTCTCCCTCATGTCCAAACGTCACATCACAGACCTACAGTATTATATTTGGTGAAAAGGGTCGGGTCTGTGGCTCTCACCAGACTCCTCTTGCCGCGGCCTTTGTCCCTGAACACAGACACCTTCCACTGCAGCGCCCTCAGTCTCAGGCTCAGGTTTTCCACCAGCTCGTCTCGCTCCTGCAGCTCGATGAACTGAAAGGCCTTCTTACTCCTCACGCTCACGATCACGGGGTTGGGGAGGACGCTGGTGCTCTCCGCCTTCTCCACAGACAACACCTGCACACACCAGACCAAAGGTAAGGGACTGAGAGAGTATGTCTGTATTTGGCCACACTTTAGTTTAGCTTAGTTAGCCGTTAGCTCATGAAGTGACAGCTAATTAAGTGCTTGTTATTGTATTGTTGATGTTAACTAGCTTTTAGTTGGTATTTATTAAGCACGTATTAATCCTTACTCTACATGACCTCATTCAACATCTCACAAACTATTAATGTTAGAGTCATATGAACCGACTGGGACTCTGAGGAGCACAGGGACTAGCCTCATTTCTCCATTGTTATCAGAAGTAGCCACGCCTCTCTCCACTGTTCCAACTAATGTGCCACAACTTCCGCAGTCTATGGGTGCTTTCAAAATGGCTGCGGGGGCTGGAAAATGTGAAAAAACGCATCTGCGCATGCGTCAGCCGGCACGAGCCCCATTTATTTAACGAGTGCCTTCAAAATTTCACGGAAACTAAAATAGACATCCAAATAAAGATTCACTCCCCTCAGCATTGACACACAAGTGGAACGGAGCTTTGGACCAAGAGCCACTTTGGGACAATCCTGTAAAGAGGTTTTCGAGAGGAAAGAAGACATAAGACATTCTCTTTCTGGGTACACCCCCACAGGCCCGGGGAGGTATTGCAAGTATGTCAGCGCACGTGCTCATGGACCTTTTTGAGCTGGGACCCGCCCCCACTGATTTTTAAAGAAAAAGCTCATCATCAAGTGTCTATCGCTCCATCTCTCCCTCTATCTCTCTCCATCTCTCCCTCTATCTCTCTCAATCTCTATCTCTCCATCTCTATCTCTCCATCTCTATCTCTCCATCTCTATCTCTCCATCTCTATCTCCATCTCTATCTCCATCTTTCCATCTCTCTCTCTCCATCTCTATCTCTCCCCATCTCCATCTCCATCTCCATCTCCATCTCTATCGCTCCATCTCTATCGCTCCATCTCTATCTCCATCTCTATCGCTCCATCTCTATCTCCATCTTTCCATCTCTCTCTCTCCATCTCTATCTCTCTCTCTCCATCTCTATCTTTCTCTCAATCTCTATCTCTCCATCTCTATCTCTCCATCTCTATCTCTCCATCTCTATCTCTCCATCTCTATCGCTCCATCTCTATCTCCATCTCTATCTCCATCTTTCCATCTCTCTCTCTCCATCTCTATCTCTCTCTCTCCCCATCTCCATCTCCATCTCCATCTCCATCTCCATCTCTATCTCTCCATCTCCATCTCTCCATCTCTCTCTGGTACATTAGACTCGTATGTCCCAGCAGCCCCACCTCCTGCAGGGGCAGTATGAGTGTGCAGATGCCCTCCTCGCGGCTGCTGAAGCACAGGTAGTTGTCGGTGGAGTAGAGCGTCCCGACCGTGTGAGCGCGAGCGTGAGGCGTCCACACGGAGCACGAGGCCACCTCCAGGAGGCGCTCCGAGCGAGGGAGGCGGAACAGGGCCAGGACGTACTGTCGGAGAGCCTGCTCCTCCAGCACCCTGTGGGGAAGAGGGGACAGTGTCATGCCCATGTAAGGAAATGAGCTCCAGCTAGCCTCGTCTCCAACCTGAAGCTCGCCACCCGCCCTCAAGTAGCTCGCCAAACAATTTAGAAACAAATGAAATCAAACATTATACTTAATATTTCAGATTGTATAATTCATTATTATTATTTATTATTGTAAATGGACTAGTAACAAATGTGCAATGATAAATAATGACTGTGCCCAGCATCAGGCTCGTTCACACCAATATATTACCACTTTTTTCCCAAGGTTTGCTTAAAGTCGTAGCTCTCTGCCTTCATCGTCCTGGGAAAGTAGCTCTCTGCCTATATCGTCCCGGGAAAGTAGCTCTCTGCCTTTATCGTCCCGGGAAAGTATCTCTCTGCCTTTATCGTCCTGGGAAAGTAGCTCTCTGCCTATATCGTCCCGGGAAAGTAGCTCTCTGCCTTTATTGTCCTGGGAAAGTAGCTCTCTGCCTATATCGTCCTGGGAAAGTAGCTCTCTGCCTATATCGTCCTGGGAAAGTAGCTCTCTGCCTTTATCGTCCTGGGAAAGTAGCTCTCTGCCTTTATTGTCCCGGGAAAGTAGCTCTCTGCCTTTATCGTCCCGGGAAAGTAGCTCTCTGCCTTTATCGTCCCGGGAAAGTAGCTCTCTGCCTTTATCGTCCCGGGAAAGTAGCTCTCTGCCTATATGGTCCTGGGAAAGTAGCTCTCTGCCTATATCGTCCCGGGAAAGTAGCTCTCTGCCTTTATTGTCCTGGGAAAGTAGCTCTCTGCCTATATCGTCCTGGGAAAGTAGCTCTCTGCCTATATCGTCCTGGGAAAGTAGCTCTCTGCCTTTATCGTCCTGGGAAAGTAGCTCTCTGCCTTTATCGTCCCGGGAAAGTACCTCTCTGCCTTTATCGTCCCGGGAAAGTAGCTCTCTGCCTTTATCGTCCCGGGAAAGTAGCTCTCTGCCTTTATCGTCCTGGGAAAGTAGCTCTCTGCCTATATCGTCCCGGGAAAGTAGCTCTCTGCCTTTATTGTCCTGGGAAAGTAGCTCTCTGCCTATATCGTCCTGGGAAAGTAGCTCTCTGCCTATATCGTCCTGGGAAAGTAGCTCTCTGCCTTTATTGTCCTGGGAAAGTAGCTCTCTGCCTTTATCGTCCCGGGAAAGTAGCTCTCTGCCTTTATCGTCCCGGGAAAGTAGCTCTCTGCCTTTATCGTCCCGGGAAAGTAGCTCTCTGCCTTTATCGTCCCGGGAAAGTAGCTCTCTGCCTATATCGTCCTGGGAAAGTAGCTCTCTGCCTATATCGTCCCGGGAAAGTAGCTCTCTGCCTTTATCGTCCCGGGAAAGTAGCTCTCTGCCTTTATCGTCCGGGAAAGTAGCTCTCTGCCTTTATCGTCCCGGGAAAGTAGCTCTCTGCCTATATCGTCCTGGGAAAGTAGCTCTCTGCCTATATCGTCCCGGGAAAGTAGCTCTCTGCCTTTATTGTCCTGGGAAAGTAGCTCTCTGCCTATATCGTCCTGGGAAAGTAGCTCTCTGCCTATATCGTCCTGGGAAAGTAGCTCTCTGCCTTTATTGTCCTGGGAAAGTAGCTCTCTGCCTTTATCGTCCCGGGAAAGTAGCTCTCTGCCTTTATCGTCCGGGAAAGTAGCTCTCTGCCTTTATCGTCCCGGGAAAGTAGCTCTCTGCCTTTATCGTCCCGGGAAAGTAGCTCTCTGCCTTCATCGTCCTGGGAAAGTAGCTCTCTGCCTATATCGTCCCGGGAAAGTAGCTCTCTGCCTTTATCGTCCCGGGAAAGTAGCTCTCTGCCTTTATCGTCCTGGGAAAGTAGCTCTCTGCCTATATCGTCCCGGGAAAGTAGCTCTCTGCCTTTATTGTCCTGGGAAAGTAGCTCTCTGCCTATATCGTCCTGGGAAAGTAGCTCTCTGCCTATATCGTCCTGGGAAAGTAGCTCTCTGCCTTTATTGTCCTGGGAAAGTAGCTCTCTGCCTATATCGTCCTGGGAAAGTAGCGCTCTGCCTATATCGTCCCGGGAAAGTAGCGCTCTGCCTTTATTGTCCTGGGAAAGTAGCTCTCTGCCTTTATCGTCCCGGGAAAGTAGCTCTCTGCCTTTATCGTCCCGGGAAAGTAGCTCTCTGCCTTTATCGTCCCGGGAAAGTAGCTCTCTGCCTTTATCGTCCCGGGAAAGTAGCTATCTGCCTTTATCGTCCCGGGAAAGTAGCTCTTTGCCTTTATCGTCCCGGGAAAGTAGCTCTCTGCCTTTATCGTCCCGGGAAAGTAGCTCTCTGCCTTTATCGTCCCGGGAAAGTAGCTCTCTGCCTATATCGTCCCGGGAAAGTAGCTCTCTGCCTATATTGTCAGGGGAAAGTACCTCTCTGCCTTTATTGTCAGGGGAAAGTAGCTCTCTGCCTTTATTGTCAGGGGAAAGTAGCTCTCTGCCTTTATTGTCAGGGGAAAGTAGCTCTCTGCCTTTATCTCTGCCTTTATCGTCCCGGGAAAGTAGCTCTCTGCCTTTATCGTCCTGGGAAAGTAGCTCTCTGCCTATATCGTCCCGGGAAAGTAGCTCTCTGCCTTTATTGTCCTGGGAAAGTAGCTCTCTGCCTATATCGTCCTGGAAAGTAGCTCTCTGCCTATATCGTCCTGGGAAAGTAGCTCTCTGCCTTTATTGTCCTGGGAAAGTAGCTCTCTGCCTTTATCGTCCCGGGAAAGTAGCTCTCTGCCTTTATCGTCCCGGGAAAGTAGCTCTCTGCCTTTATCGTCCCGGGAAAGTAGCTCTCTGCCTTTATCGTCCCGGGAAAGTAGCTCTCTGCCTTCATCGTCCTGGGAAAATAGCTCTCTGCCTATATCGTCCCGGGAAAGTAGCTCTCTGCCTTTATCGTCCCGGGAAAGTAGCTCTCTGCCTTTATCGTCCTGGGAAAGTAGCTCTCTGCCTATATCGTCCCGGGAAAGTACCTCTCTGCCTTTATTGTCCTGGGAAAGTAGCTCTCTGCCTATATCGTCCTGGGAAAGTAGCTCTCTGCCTATATCGTCCTGGGAAAGTAGCTCTCTGCCTATATCGTCCTGGGAAAGTAGCGCTCTGCCTATATCGTCCTGGGAAAGTAGCGCTCTGCCTATATCGTCCGGGAAAGTAGCTCTCTGCCTTTATCGTCCCGGGAAAGTAGCTCTCTGCCTTTATCGTCCCGGGAAAGTAGCTCTCTGCCTTTATCGTCCCGGGAAAGTAGCTCTCTGCCTTTATCGTCCCGGGAAAGTAGCTCTCTGCCTTTATCGTCCCGGGAAAGTAGCTCTCTGCCTTTATCGTCCCGGGAAAGTAGCTCTCTGCCTTTATCGTCCCGGGAAAGTAGCTCTCTGCCTTTATCGTCCCGGGAAAGTAGCTCTCTGCCTATATCGTCCCGGGAAAGTAGCTCTCTGCCTTTATCGTCCCGGGAAAGTAGCTCTCTGCCTATATCGTCCCGGGAAAGTAGCTCTCTGCCTATATCGTCAGGGGAAAGTACCTCTCTGCCTTTATTGTCAGGGGAAAGTAGCTCTCTGCCTTTATTGTCAGGGGAAAGTAGCTCTCTGCCTTTATTGTCAGGGGAAAGTAGCTCTCTGCCTTTATCTCTGCCTTTATCGTCCCGGGAAAGTAGCTCTCTGCCTTTATTGTCCCGGGAAAGTAGCTCTCTGCCTTTATCGTCCCGGGAAAGTAGCTCTCTGCCTTTATCGTCCCGGGAAAGTAGCTCTCTGCCTTTATCGTCCCGGGAAAGTAGCTCTCTGCCTTTATCGTCCCGGGAAAGTAGCGCTCCGCCTTTATCGTCCCGGGAAAGTAGCTCTCTGCCTTCATCGTCCCGGGAAAGTAGCTCTCTGCCTTTATCTCTGCCTTTATCGTCCCGGGCAAGTGGCTCTCTGCCTTTATTGTCCTGGGAAAGTAGCTCTCTGCCTATATCGTCCCGGGAAAGTAGCTCTCTGCCTTTATTGTCCCGGGAAAGTAGCTCTCTGCCTTTATCGTCCTGGGAAAGTACCTCTCTGCCTTTATCGTCCCGGGAAAGTAGCTCTCTGCCTTTATTGTCCCGGGAAAGTAGCTCTCTGCCTATATCGTCCCGGGAAAGTAGCTCTCTGCCTTTATTGTCCCGGGAAAGTAGCTCTCTGCCTTTATTGTCCTGGGAAAGTAGCTCTCTGCCTATATCGTCCCGGGAAAGTACCTCTCTGCCTTTATCGTCCCGGGAAAGTAGCTCTCTGCCTTTACCGTCCCGGGAAAGTAGCTCTCTGCCTTTATCGTCAGGGGAAAGTAGCTCTCTCCCTTTATTGTCAGAGGAAAGTAGCTCTCTGCCTTTATCGTCCCGGGAAAGTAGCTCTCTGCCTTTATCGTCCCGGGAAAGTAGCTCTCTGCCTTTATTGTCCCGGGAAAGTAGCTCTCTGCCTTTATCGTCCCGGGAAAGTAGCTCTCTGCCTTTATCGTCCCGGGAAAGTAGCTCTCTGCCTTTATCGTCCCGGGAAAGTAGCTCTCTGCCTTTATCGTCCCGGGAAAGTAGCTCTCTGCCTTTATCGTCCCGGGAAAGTAGCTCTCTGCCTTTATCGTCCCGGGAAAGTAGCTCTCTGCCTTTATCTTCCCGAGACAGTAGCTCTCGGCCTTTATCGTCCTGGGAAAGTAGCTCTCTGCCTTTATCGTCCCGCAAAAGTACCTCTCTGCCTTTATTGTCCCGAGAAAGTAGCTCTCTGCCTTTATCGTCCCGGGAAAGTAGCACTCTGCCTTTATTGTCCCGGGAAAGTAGCTCTCTGCCTTTATCGTCCCGGGAAAGTAGCTCTCTGCCTTATTTTTCAACAGTTATTGCAGTGACCATTCTTATATATTGTAATACACTCAGAAAGATCCTGTTCCGACTGGGATTTGAACCAAGGACCTTTTTGCTGTGAAGTCCAAGTCCAATGTGTTTGAGCTTTTTATCATCTGGAAGTGCAATACTAGTGTTTTATATAAATGTGAAAGTGCAATACTAGTGTTTTATATAAATGTGACTGTGCAATACTAGTGTTTTATATAAATGTGACATTGCAATACTAGTGTTTTATATAAATGTGAAAGTGCAATACTAGTGTTTTATATAAATGTAACAGTGCAATACCAGTGTTTTATATAAATGTGACAGTGCAATACTAGTGTTTTATATAAATGTGACAGTGCAATACTAGTGTTTTATATAAATGTGACGGTGCAATACTAGTGTTTTATATAAATGTGACGGTGCAATACTAGTGTTTTATATAAATGTGACGGTGCAATACTAGTGTTTTATATAAATGTGACGGTGCAATACTAGTGTTTTATATAAATGTGACGGTGCAATACTAGTGTTTTATATAAATGTAACAGTGCAATACTAGTGTTTTATATAAATGTAACAGTGCAATACTAGTGTTTTATATAAATGTGACTGTGCAATACTAGTGTTTTATATAAATGTGACATTGCAATACTAGTGTTTTATATAAATGTGACTGTGCAATACTAGTGTTTTATATAAATGTGACGGTGCAATACTAGTGTTTTATATAAATGTGACGGTGCAATACTAGTGTTTTATATAAATGTGACGGTGCAATACTAGTGTTTTATATAAATGTGACTGTGCAATACTAGTGTTTTATATAAATGTGACAGTGCAATACCAGTGTTTTATATAAATGTGACAGTGCAATACTAGTGTTTTATATAAATGTGACGGTGCAATACTAGTGTTTTATATAAATGTGACAGTGCAATACTAGTGTTTTATATAAATGTAACAGTGCAATACTAGTGTTTTATATAAATGTGACTGTGCAATACTAGTGTTTTATATAAATGTGACATTGCAATACTAGTGTTTTATATAAATGTGACTGTGCAATACTAGTGTTTTATATAAATGTGACGGTGCAATACTAGTGTTTTATATAAATGTGACGGTGCAATACTAGTGTTTTATATAAATGTGACGGTGCAATACTAGTGTTTTATATAAATGTGACTGTGCAATACTAGTGTTTTATATAAATGTGACAGTGCAATACCAGTGTTTTATATAAATGTGACAGTGCAATACTAGTGTTTTATATAAATGTGACGGTGCAATACTAGTGTTTTATATAAATGTGACAGTGCAATACTAGTGTTTTATATAAATGTGACAGTGCAATACTAGTGTTTTATATAAATGTGACAGTGCAATACTAGTGTTTTATATAAATGTGACAGTGCAATACTAGTGTTTTATATAAATGTGACAGTGCAATACTAGTGTTTTATATAAATGTAACAGTGCAATACTAGTGTTTTATATAAATGTGACAGTGCAATACTAGTGTTTTATATAAATGTGACAGTGCAATACTAGTGTTTTATATAAATGTGACAGTGCAATACTAGTGTTTTATATAAATGTGACAGTGCAATACTAGTGTTTTATATAAATGTGACAGTGCAATACTAGTGTTTTATATAAATGTGACAGTGCAATACTAGTGTTTTATATAAATGTGACAGTGCAATACTAGTGTTTTATATAAATGTGAAAGTGCAATACTAGTGTTTTATATAAATGTGACAGTGCAGTGCTAGCGCCACCTCTTGGTGATGAGCCGTGGCTGCAGAAGCTGTCTGTCCAGCTCCAGCCCCTCACTGTCCAGGAGCCTGCGGAGGGCGATGTCGCACATCTGGGCGATGACTCCGAACGCCTCGTCGCGGTTCAGGAACATGGAAAACTCCCGGAGCTTCTGCCGTGTCACGAGCCGCACGGCGTCGTGCATCAGGCCCGAGGAGACGCGCTCCAGACGCACCACCTCCGCCCACGGGATCACAAACTTCACTGCGGACCAGAGATTGGGTTAGACAAGAGCATGAAAGGAACGAAGATGGATCAAGGAAAGAAAACTAAAGTCACATTTAAAAAGCTGAGATTCCTGTCCTTTACATCAGAGGTTTATTATTTACTTTGGAATGTTCTGGAAACAGCAGCGAGTCCTGAGTGTCTCTGAAACTGTTGTTTTTCCTGCTTTTTTCTGCCTGAGATGTTGCTGCAGTGCAATGTTCATGGTTTTACACTGGTCCAGACCAGAGCAGAGGATTCATGGTTTTACACTGGTCCAGACCAGAGCAGAGAGGATTCATGGTTTTACACTGGTCCAGACCAGAGCAGCGAGGATTCATGGTTTTACACTGGTCCAGACCAGAGCAGAGAGGATTCATGGTTTTACACTGGTCCAGACCAGAGCAGAGAGGATTCATGGTTTTACACTGGTCCAGACCAGAGCAGAGAGGATTCATGGTTTTACACTGGTCCAGACCAGAGCAGAGAGGATTCATGGTTTTACACTGGTCCAGACCAGAGCAGAGAGGATTCATGGTTTTACACTGGTCCAGACCAGAGCAGAGAGGATTCATGGTCTGAACCAAGTGGATCAGGAGAAAATCCACTGGAGGAATGCTACCTTAAAAAAAAAATGCTAATGAAGCATTTAGCATATTTTTTTGGACCAGAGCAGAGAAAATGGTCGAACCAAGCTTCATCTCTCCGGCTGTGACCTAAAGTGATGGTTCTTTTTTATAAATTTTATTTCTTATTTTTGCTGCTCCTGGACACCTGAATTTCTCCTACGAGGATCAATAAAGCATCTATCCATCTATAGCAAAGCCCTGATGATCTGCGTCCATATCAAACAAACCTTCCTTCCCGAGCAGAAAGGAGTAGAAGGAGACATGGTTGGTGCTGAGGAAGAGGAAGCCCTGCCTCGGGACTCGACCCTTCCAGCAGCAGCAGGAGAAGTACGTCACCAGTTTCTCTGAGGACGGGAGACTGAAGTGACGCTCGAACTTCAGCAGAGCGTCCCTGAAGCGCCCGGGGTCGTCCTCCAGCGCCGCCTGCCGACCGCGGACCTCCTCCGCTATGAGGCCCTGAACCAGAGCAGAGGCTTTAGGACGCGGCAGCCATGGAATTTTACTGGACATTCATAGTTCAAGTATCAATACAGCAGAAATCTTTTATCACAGGGTTTCTTTCTACAAAACAACCTGCAATAAGTGGAATCTTTGAAGTAGCAGCTTGTGTGTTTTTAGGTAGAAGTGAGAGAGACTAGAGAAAGAGCAGAGAGAGAGACCAGAGAGAGAGACCAGAGAAAGACCAGAGAGAGATACCAGAGAGAGAGACCAGAGAGTGTCTAGAGAAAGACCAGAGAGAGACTAGAGAGAGATACCAGAGAGAGACCAGAGAGTCTAGAGAAAGATCAGAGAGAGAGAGACCAGAGAGAGACTAGAGAAAGAGCAGAGAGAGAGAGACCAGAGAGAGAGACCAGAGAAAGACCAGAGAGAGATACCAGAGAGAGAGACCAGAGAGTCTAGAGAAAGATCAGAGAGAGAGAGACCAGAGAGAGACTAGAGAAAGAGAATAGAGAGACCAGAGAGAGAGACCAGAGTGAGACCAGAGAGTCTAGAGAAAGAGTAGAGAGAGAGAGACCAGAGAGAGGCCAGAGAGAGACCAGAGAGATATCAGAGAGAGACCAGAGAGAGACCGGAGAGAGAGACTAGAGAAAGAGCAGAGATACTAGAGAAAGAGGAGAGAGAGAGACAGCAGAGAGACCAGTGTCTTGCCCAAGGACACAACACCTGCAGACGTTAGTGAGAGTCGGTGGTGAAGGCCTTGAGGTGGACTCGAACCCAAGTCCTCCAGGCTCAAAGGCCAGCGCTCTACCAACTGAGCCACTGTCGCCCCTAACCAGTATAGTAGGGTTATGTACATTAGATCTCAGGTCACATGGTTTCAAAGATCGTATACATTTTACAGTAAGAAAAAAAAAAAATTGTGTCTATGAAGAATTTTAGTTCTAAACCATGCCTGACCGACTGGGGTTTAGGCTGAAGTCGAGACTGACACTGCCGAACCCTACAACTGTGACAATACGTCCAAACGGTAATACACATTATACAGATTCTCAAGATGCAGCTGTTGAAAATCCCACATGTTAAAAAGGTTGCTTCAAACCTATAGCACTTTTTGTACCTGTGAGTTCGTACTTTTCGGTGGAGATCACTGACTTGAGTCTCAACTTTGATGCATGTGAAAAAGACTTAACCCTCACCATAACACCAAGACATATTCTAACATCCACTTCCACTTTCTTCATATTGCTTTTTCTCACTGCGGCCACACTTCACCACATGCAGAAAGGCCGTATCGACCCCGGGGGACGACGATGAGAAATGGGGGCGTGTTGTTTTGACCCGCGTCAGATTTTCACCACCATCACGACAGGATTGTGCGGCGGGATGAATGAAGGATCTCTTCCGTGATTTGTACCTTGACTTTTCCTTTGACGAAGCTGGCGAGGTCGTCCTTATTCTCAAACACAGAGAGAGAGTGGAGCAGGTTCCTGGAGAGCCAGTCCCAGTGTCTGTTCACCTCCTCCACCACCGCCCCTGTCAACACACACACACACACACACACACACACACACACACATACGCACACACACACCCACATACGCACACACACACACACACACACGCACACTTAGTTATTTGACAACATGACTCATAACAATGATGGACAATTTGTAGGACATTTCCCCAGCAAACCTAAGAAATACATTTTGCAGGTGACCGGGATCACTCTTGGTGGAGGTCTGTGCTCTACGAGTGCTTTACCAGTTGTAAGAAGAATTACAAGAAATGCCTTGAGCTGCACTGAGCCTCTATATCCCTGTGTTGCATGCGTGTCATACTAGTATTTTGTGTATTGTATCGTAACTTCCTCTCCGTTCTATGTTTGTGACCGTGGACAATAAAGGCATCGATCATCTACCAGAAACTAGAGACCATCGCGACAAAATCACAACTGGTTCAGAGCCTTTGTGCCTTTGTGCTGCTGCTGAACTTCAATCCTCCAAAACAGGGGTGTCCAAACATTTGAGCAAGAGGGCCACTTTAGTTCGCCAGGCTAGTCCAGGGGCCGACATCACGGATTGAAAAACTTGATTGGCATCCAGCTTTAACACGATCTATAACAGAGCTGAAGTTGGCTGAATGATGAATGTTTACCCGCTACATTAGCACCATTAGCGAAAATTTGTGACACAAGCAAAAACCATGTCAGTAGAATATCTAAAAATAAAACTGAATCCAGACATATTTGGGCTTTGGACGAAGGTACGACATGGTATGGTATGGTATAGTATGGTATGGTTAGGTATGGTATGGTTTTTATTTTTACAGGGACAGTGTACAATAAACATTAGCCAAAATGAGAGATGCATTGTACCAGGTTGTAGCAGCAGTGCTAATTTACACCTGTAGTCCCTGAGCAGGTTGTTGTAAATAAGTAAAATAAAATAAAGTAGATGGATACATTATCAGACAGAAATTACAGGTCTATATTGACTGAGCTGAAGTTGGATGGATGACACAGTGACCTTGTGTTTATGATCTCAGAGGCTACTTTGGGTTAGCGAGGCAGTGGGCCACATACAATGACAACGAGGGCCGCAATTGGACCCCGGGGCCTGAGTTTGGCCATGCCTTCTCTAAAACATGAACGGTGTAGTTAGTGAATAGAACATCCATCCATCCATTTTCTTCCCCTTAATCCATTTCTGGGTCGGAGGGGTGGCAGTCAGAGCTACACCCAGTACACATAGCACCAGTGAATAGAACAATGGTAATGAAAAGTGTTCTCACCGCTCGCTATGACCCAGCTGATCTGAGCGCCGGGAATCTGCAGCAGGATCCTGAACGGAGCCACGCGGGCGTTTGAGTCCAACACCGTGTCCAAGGCTCCGACCAAGAGGCCTGTGAACGACACCAGCTTTTCATTCATTCAGAAAGTTTCACAGATTTAAAAGGAGCAATATGTGAGATTTTCATGTGAAGTCATCATTAAAGGGCCCTAATCTGTCATCATTAAAGGGCCCTAATCTGTTGTCATTAAAGGGCCCTAATCTGTCGTCATTAAAGGGCCCTAATCTGTCGTCATTAAAGGGCCCTAATCTGTCGTCATTAAAGGGCCCTAATCTGTCGTCATTAAAAGGTCCTAATCTGTCTTCATTAAAAGGGCCCTAATCTGTCATAATTAAAGGGCCCTGATCTGTCGTCATTAAAGGGCCCTAGTCTGTCGTCAGTAAAGGGCCCTAATCTGTCATCATTAAAAGGCCCAGATCTGTCATCATTAAAGGGCCCTAATCTGTCATTAAAGGGCCCTAATCCGTCGTCATTAAAGGGCCCTAATCTATCATCATTGAAGGGCACTAATCTATCATCATTGAAGGGCACTAATCTATCATCATTGAAGGGCCCTAATCTGTTGTCGTTAAAGGGCCCTAATCTGTCGTCATTAAAGGGCCCAAATCTGTCAAAAGGCATTAATAAAACATGCTCTTTTCCAATACTTCTTTAATTGATAACAGTAATTCAGAGATATAATTTCCAAATCTTAGCGCCCTCCACCGTTTCACCAATCAGAAAATCCGTGATCCGGGCTCCAGAACTCAAAGCGTCGAGATAATCTCACTGGGAAAGCACCATGTGGCCGCAGAACTGGAGAAGGTCTAGTAGTAGTAAAGTAGTAAAGTAGAAATAACATTACATTTCGCCATTTGGCTTGTTGTGGTGGACCGCCATGTATTGGTAAGTTTGCAGTGGTGCAATTTCTGAGTAAAGAATTGAACAGTGCTCTGTGATGTTTTAATAATAACAATAATACAGCAATATGTTTTATGCATATGGCGCCTTTCTGGGCACTCAAGGACACTTACAAAAGATACAAATTTAAAAACAAATACAGTTAAAAGAAAAAAAAACAAATGTAACAATTAAAAACACAGTAAAACTCAACACTGCTTTAAACTTCTGCACAACTTTGACTTCAGGAAGCTAAGTTTAAACCTCAATAGAACATGGAATCTAACAGAAGTCTACTGTATTACTGAGTTTGAAATGGCAGCCTTTGAACAGATGGGACTCACACATACGAAGGACTTCTTGCATATTGCATGTTTTTTAAATCCCAGCAGAACGGCTCAAAGTTCAAACATATCCACGTCCCCAAACCTGTCCGATCATGTTCCCGGAGCGACATCTGGGAGTGCATTATTCAGACACAGACACAAAAGCAAAAGCTCCGAGAGACAAAACATGGTCTGTGTCTGAGAAACATGGACAAACTGTGAGAGACGAGGGATAGGGGCCGAGGCAGGTCGGGAACATGTTGTTATCTGTGCTAACAAAGAGAGAAATGACCCGCACTGACATTATGTATTTTTAGAAAAGAAAAACAAGCCAAAACGCCAGGTTTGCAGCTCGTTGCCAGATCCACTCAAAGCTGTGGATGACTGTGGGAGAAGGAAAATCACTCTTTCAAACAGGATTATTGGGAAATCATGAAGACTGTGTCGACTTGGATTTGAAATGTTATTTAATGGTTTCTATAAAAATAGATTCACAGCCAATTTTTCCCCATTACTAAATTAATTTATTCGAACAAAAAAAAAGTTACTTTCATCATGTCTTGGTCGCAACTATTTTATTTTGTTCATTGTGTGTGAATGTGTGTGCGTACGTGCGTGTGTGTAACTCAATTACATTATGGTTGGCCTCCTGCTATAGGACTCTGAGGAGCACAGGGACTGGCCTCCTGCTATAGGACTCTGAGGAGCACAGGGACTGGCCTCCTGCTATAGGACTCTGAGGAGCACAGGGACTGGCCTCCTGCTATAGGACTCTGAGGATCACAGGGACTGGCCTCCTGCTATAGGACTCTGAGGAGCACAGGGACTGGCCTCCTGCTATAGGACTCTGAGGATCACAGGGACTGGCCTCCTGCTATAGGACTCTGAGGATCACAGGGACTGGCCTCCTGCTGGGACTCTGAGGATCACAGGGACTGGCCTCCTGCTGGGACTCTGAGGATCACAGGGACTGGCCTCCTGCTATAGGACTCTGAGGATCACAGAATCAGAATCAGAATCAGAATCAGAATCATTTTTATTGCCACGTGAGTAACAAAGTTATCACTTGGAAATTGTTTTGGCAGAGAGCGTGCCACTTCGCCATTTGCGGCGCTGTGTGCAGCAAGAAACAGCAGAGAGCAATAACATACAGTTCACAGACAATTGGATAGACACATTGTGCTTTTTATAAACCACGGATTTTTTTCTCGGGAAGAGCACCTCTTCGGCCGGCCCAATGTAGCTGTCAGAGGGGGGCGGGATCAGGGAGGGGGTGAGTAGGAAAACAATAAGGAATGGAGGGGAGGGAGGGAGCAAGATGGATAGGTAGAGGGAGGCGGGGGTGGGGGATCCTTGCTGAAGACTGAAATAGTGTGAGTTGTTGTAGATTGTGGGACCTTGTTTATGGCCTTGGCTGAGGAATGTGAGATAAGAGTGGAGAGAAGCCACAGGAGGAGAAAAACACATCGCCTGCAATGTCGCAGTCAAAAGCAGGCAGATATTCTATTAATTCCAATTAAACCGAATTCCGGTGCCCTCAGACCTCCGTACACAGGGGCAAATCCAAGCCGGGTCAGAGAGATCAAGCCTGACAAACAATGTCATTCAATCTCAATTCCAAAGTCTTATGTCCATCAAGTGAACGAGCTGCGAGGTCTTTGATCAACTGTTCCACCAAAACCACCCTTCTTTGTCCAGACACGGCACTCTCAACCACGACACGGCTAAGCTCCTTGTACATCCCATCAATTTTATCGGCCAGCAGGTCGTGAATCTTGCGAACTGCCATGCCTCCGAATTTGTGGTAGAAGAGGATCGCTCCAAACCCAAACAGGAGGATTCCCACCACCAAAATGCCAAAGATATATACGTCTTCCGAATCTTCAATGGACAGGGTCGACAGACAGAGGGGCTGCCACTTGTTCCAGCTGTCAAGCGTATACCCCGCTGGTGAAGTCCCGTCCGGGCACTCGGGCTCTCCAGACCCACGCTTACGTGTTGAAAAGATAGAATCAATTGCGTTGAGGGACCAATTAATCAGGGACTGGCCTCCTGCTATAGGACTCTGAGGATCACAGGGACTGGCCTCCTGCTGGTCCCAGAGTCAGGACTAAACATGAGGAGGCAGTGTTTCAGATTCATGCTAAAACCTGGAACAGTCTTCCTGAAAATGTGAGACAGGCTTCTTCTCTGACAATGTTCAAAAATGTCAGTGATTTGATTGTCCTTTTTTACGTCCGGTGTGATTTTATACTTGTGTTGGTTTATGAGCCGTGAAACGCAATATATAAAAAAAGATTACTTTATTACATACAAACAAAAGGTTGATTGAAACAGAAGTGATCGTTTGTAAATTGTAGATCAGCAGATATTATATTTAGCATCCTAGATTATCACTGGCATGTCTTTTATAAATAATTATTAAAGGTGTTCCATCCTTTCAGAGGCGACAGTGATGAACTAAAAGACAATAGAAAGATTCCATTTCATCTGTGACTAAAACTTTCCTCTGTCTCTTACGTCACGCATTCCCCTTGTGCTGCAGGGAACGGTGCCAGCCTGAACTGAGATAAAGTCTTACACAGAAACTGGATTCGGGCCAAAAGCTCAGCCCTCGTAAAGTCCAAGTCGAGTGGAGCTAAAGAGGCAGCAACCTGGCAACGCAGAACGCAAATATGTGTCAGCAAAAAACAAGAGCTTCCAAAGAGAAGTCAGAGTGTTCACTGGACTCTTGAACACGGCAGGATCAAGACAGAATCCTGACAGTAGAGGCCTGACGCGGGGCCTTCTCTGCAGAATAAGGTTGTGGAGTCAGGGTTCATATGGGTTCTATGGGTGGTTCTATGGAGGGTTCTATGGATGGTTCTATGGAGGGTTCTATGGATGGTTCTATGGAGGGTTCTATGGATGGTTCTATGGATGGTTCTATGGGTGGTTCTATGGATGGTTCTATGGATGGTTCTATGGAGGGGTCTATGGATGGTTCTATGGGTGGTTCTATGGGTGGTTCTATGGGTGGTTCTATGGATGGTTCTATGGGTGGTTCTATGGATGGTTCTATGGGTGGTTCTATGGAGGGTTCTATGGAGGGTTCTATGGATGGTTCTATGGGTGGTTCTATGGGTGGTTCTATGGGTGGTTCTATGGATGGTTCTATGGATGGTTCTATGGGTGGTTCTATGGGTGGTTCTATGGGTTGTTCTATGGGTGGTTCTATGGATGGTTCTATAGGTGGTTCTATGGATGGTTCTATGGATGGTTCTATGGGTGGTTCTATGGATGGTTCTATGGATGGTTCTATGGATGGTTCTATGGGTGGTTCTATGGGTGGTTCTCTGGATGGTTCTCTGGATGGTTCTATGGATGGTTCTATGGGTGGTTCTATGGATGCACAGATACCGATATCAGGTATTGGGTCAATACCATAGGCTTGTACTCCCCCTTGTTTCCGGGTAACCGATACCCACATATATAATTCACGACAGCAGACAGCTGTGCGGCACGTGTTGCCATGGTGATCTCCTAAAGTCGGCAGCGAGAAAGCGTTTAGCGGCAAGCAGACGTCGGCCGTATGGCAGTTTTTTTTAAAGTTATCTGGCTAAAAAGTGGTACTGCAGCCTCTCCCACTCTCCCTGACTCAGGTTGCCAGATATGCAGACGAATCCAGCTGGGACCATAACAGCTGAATAGACAAGAGTTTTGTCAACAACAAATCTATAACAACACCTTTTTCACAAAGATAGAAATCCTGGTTTTATTCCTTGTTTTGTCGTTAATGATTTGAGAATCATAACGAGACCTTTTTTAGTTCTGCAGCTACAATGCAGGGCATCCTGGGTAACTTCA